GTAAAGGCAGAGAAGGCAGCCGGCTGGAATGTAAGACATGGAATATCTGCCTTGCCATAGAAGACCTACATATTGTGCAGGTCAGAAGGAGGGCTGAGAAGATATCTGCAGACCCCTCTCATCCTGGACATAAATTGTTTCAATGCCATCCCTTAAGATGGCACTATAGGGCACGGGTCGGCAACCCGCGGCTCTGGAGTCGCATGTGGCTCTTTGAGCCTTCTCCTGCGACTCCCAGTCCTCCACCATTTGCAGAGAGAGAGAGGCACCTGCGTTTCCCTTCTCTCTCTGTATGTCTGTGTGTAAAAAAGAGTGGTCTCACGCTGTTCTCCGACAAGCTGACAAGCTTATTGGGCGGGGCTCCTGCCTTTGCTGCGTTTCCGCATGAAGCAGCAGAAAGCAGCAGCAGCTCTCTCTCTCTCTCTCTCTCTCTCTCTCTCTCTCTCTCTCTCTCTCACACACACACACACACACACACACACACACACACACACACACACACTCACTCACTCACTCTGAGTGGGAGAAGAGGACTGGCAGACCAAGGGCAAGAGAGAGCCAGCCCAATAAGAATGTGTGTCAGCTTGTCGGAGAACAGCGTGAAGCCAGCTTGCCAGGTGAGCAGAAGATCGGAGAGAGGGAGAGAACTCATGCACAGCAGCCTCTATTTCTTTTTAATTAAACTCTTCAATCAAGCTGCCCCGTCTGGTGCGCGCATGTACGCGCACGGGTTTTGCGGTTCCCAGTGTTTTCTTTTCTGTGGGAAACAGGTCCAAGTGGCTCTTTGAGTGTTTAAGGTTGCCGACCCCTGCTATAGGGCATTGTATGCCAAGACAACTCGACACAGGGACATTTTCTTCCCTTGTGCCATCACTCTGCTGAACACCTAATTCTCACAGCTAACAAAATACAATGACTGAGGTTTTTTTTTGCCTAATATGTATGTATATCAATACCTAGGGTGTGGCTGCAGTATTGTTTACCCCCTTTATTATTTCTTACTTTCCCCTTTTCTTGGTTGTACACTTTAATATTGTTATATTCCACTGTTTTGCAAGTACGTCGAGGGCTTCTGTACCAGAGACAAATTCCTTCTGTGTCTATAACCACCCTTTGCCAAATAAAGCACAATTGCCTATAAAAGAAGATGAGCTGACCCATGAAGCAGATAGAAAGTTGGAGACAAGCAGTGTTTCTCAGGGTCACTTCCCCTGCTTGGTTATCTTCAGCACAATTCCACAGTAGCAAAACTCTGGCGGTTCGCCAGATGCTATGATCATACAATAAAACTAGTCAAGGAGAAAAGGAGGCTTATATTCCCATAGTTCTCGCCAGATGTTACAAATATGTAGGCTTTTTTTTTTTTTAATATGAGGATGATTTCCTAAAAAAACCAAACACCCCGGATAGCAAAAGAGTAAGCCAAAACTGCAGATCTGCTAACATGGAGGGAGTACTTGTGTTTCCTTGAGAGCTATTGGTTCTCAAGTCAGCATAGTCAATACTGAGCTAGCTAGATCTGTGGTCTAACTCTGCACAGGGCCGTTCCTTAAAAGGATTCCTTTTTTTTTTCTCTCTTTGTTTTTGCTTCCTCCTAAAAGGATTATATTGGTGTTCACCTTTAGCTGGGATTATGTATTGTAATGTACTGTTTATTGAGTTGATATGGTTGTGGTGAAGGCATTGCTCATCTGAACTCATTTGAACTACACTCATATGAAAGCTTTTATGATGCCTTTCTTTACATTAGAAGCTCGTTTGGAAGAGGGATTTTTTTTTTAACCCTGAAATTTGGCCTGTACATCATCTCAGTGAGTAAATGTAAATTATTTAGCTGAGAAAAAAAAATAACTGAGCTCTTTTTTTTTTTTGCCTTTGCCTTAATTCTGCTCCCTGGCATTATTAAAAGTAGAAGTCTTTCGGTGAAATTGGCAGATAGGAAATTGGAAATGGATGTAATGCATTTTTGCACCCTGCACAATTAATGTATGCCCCTGGATGGAATATGCTTATTATTTAAATAGCTACAAATAAATACACCCATTGTGAAGGAGGAATTTTATCCATGAGGAAAGGTTTATGTGAGGAGGAAGTGCTGGGTAGAACCAACAATAGGAGGCTGATAGTATCATTACAGGTAGTCCTTGACTTCAGAACTGGAATCTGTCATTAAGTGAGGCGGTGGTTATGCAAGTCATGCCCAATTATACAACTTTTGTTTCTGTGATCATTAAGCGAATTACCATGGTTAATAATAAAGTTGGAAGGGACCTTGGAGGTCATCTAGTCCAACCCCCTGCTCAGGCAGGAAACCCTATACCATTTCGGACAAATGGCTGTCCAGTCTCTTCTTAAAAACTTCCAGTGTTGGAGCATTCACCGCTTCTGGAGGCAGGTTGTTCCACTGGTTAATTGTTCTAACTGTCAGCAAGTTTCTCCTTAGTTCTAGGTTGCTTCTCTCCTTGATTAGTTTACATCTGTTGCTTCTTGTCCTGCCTTCAGGTGCTTTGGAGAATAGCTTGACTCCCTCTTCTTTGGGGCAGCCCCTGAGATATTGGAACACTGCTATCATATCCCCCTCGTCCTTCTCTTCATTAAACTAGACATACCCAATTCCAGCAGCTGTTCCTTATATGCTTTAGCCTTCAGTCCCCTAATCATCTTGTTGCTCTTCTCTGTACTCTTTCTAGAGTCTCAACATCTTTTTTACATGTGAATCACTTAGTTGTTGAGTGAATCCAGCTTGGACGAACTTTGGGGAGCTTTTCTTACGGGTAAAGAAGGATCTAGATTCCTACTATCCATGAAGTTGTTAAGACATCCAGGGGTTATAACACCTTAAAGCAACGGCTCCCAACCTTTTCTATAGCCCGCGCCCCTAGAACGCTTCTGTTATATTCTTGCACCCCTTACAAAAATAGCGGCAACGGATTATGCATGCGCGCTATAATTTTGAAAACCCAAGTTTTCGCAACCCCCCCCCAGGAATTTCACCTCGCAACCCCGGGTTGGGAACCCCTGCCTTAAAGGAACATTGAGGACCTGAATGCATTTCTGCTTTAGCCTTGCTGTGTTCTGTTCTATTCCGCACCCTTTCCGAAAGAGTGGACGAATTGTTCCTGTCAGATTGCATCGAAGTATTCAAGAGATGATTCTTCTGCTGGTTGAAGCTGCAGTATTTCCTACCAATGTCGGAGCTGCCAGCGTTTAAACCCCCTAAATAGAAGCAACCCTTGGCTCCGTTTATTGAGAAAGGTGTAGTTTTATTAGAAGTCAAGTGTATTGCAGTAATGCATAGGCAGAGATGAGAATCGTGTGCCAAAATCCCTAAGTTCAACTTTTCCCTCCCATAGCTGTCCCCACTCTCCAATTAGGCTGAAGCAAGATGTTTTCAAAACTCTCACTTCAAGCATAGGTTGGTATGCAGCTGCTTTTTTCTCCCAGCCGGGTGACCTTGAAGCAGCATCTCAGGGAGATAACAACAGTTAAACTTCCACTTTCCTCCTCCAAGCCAGGGCTTTTCAACCTTTTCACCCATTGTACCACTTTTAGGATATGGCAACATCCGAGTACCACCAGTCGCCTAGCAAGGTGTCAAAAACTTGATGACCCCCCCCCCAAAAAAAGGAAAAAAGTGATAAAGTACAGGTAGTCCTCGACTTACAACAGTTCGCTTAGTGACTGTTCGAAGTTACAGTGGCACTGAAAAAAGTGCCCCCCCAAACCACAGCCCAGCAAGACACCTACCTGCCCGCCCTGCAGCGCTCTTCCTCCTGTCCGAGGTTTCCATTGTTGTGAGCATTTCTGTTGGGGATTGGCAGTGGAGGTGGGGTGGGGGGGGTGTTTGGTTTTTATTCCCCCCATCTGCTGGGTGGTTGCAGCAGGTTTTGGTCACTTCACGTGACCCTGGGACACAGTGACCGTCATAAATATGAATCAGTTGCCAAGCATCTGAATGTAAATCACAAGACCCTGGAGAGGCTGCAACATTCCAGCTGATCGGCGCTTCTTCTGGGCTCAGCAGAAGCAGCAGGATCAGCGCCGAGCTCCAGCTGGATCCTTGCACTTATCCTGGCGCTTCCGCTGAGCCCTGACAGCCCTGCAGCTCCAGCCGTCTCTCGCTCAGGCTTGTGCGGTGCTGCCACCGGTTCAACTCATTCCCCTCCCCCGCTACCACTTTTCTAGGATGCTCGCGTACCACCTGCCAGGTGCCAATGTACCACAGGTGGTACCCGTACCACTGGTTGAAAAGCCCTGCTCCAAGCGGCCTCCCTCCCATCCACCCTCCCCAGAGTTCATGGCAGACTGTCCTGGTAGCAAAGCACACCAGCAAGCTTAAGGTGGCAGCTGACACCTTCCCTCCTCTCTCACATTGCAGGTCCCACTTGGCGAGTTGCTGAAACTACCCTGCCTTAAAGGTTGCTATCAAAGTTATATATAGATAACACAGGACACTTCAAGCACAAAATACTCCATGGAAGAAAAATCTTCCTCTAAAACTGGGAGCTTGTCCCAGGACATCCAGTTTTGGTCACCGCGATGTAAAAAAGATGTTGAGACTCTAGAAAGGGTACAGAGAAGAGGCAACAAGATTAGGGGACTGGAGGCTATAAAGCATATAAGGAACGGTTGCTGGAATTGGGTATGTCTAGTCTAATGAAGAGAAGGACGAGGGGGGACATGATAGCAGTGTTCCAATATCTCAGGGGCTGCCACAAAGAAGAGGGAGTCAAGCTATTCTCCAAGGCGCCCGAAGGCAGGACAAGAAGCAACGGATGGAAACTAATCAAGGAGAGAAGCAACCTAGAACTAAGGAGAAACTTCCTGACAGTTAGAACAATTAACCAGTGGAACAACCTGCTTCCAGAAGCGGTGAATGCTCCAACACTGGAAGTTTTTAAGAAGAGACTGGACAGCCATTTGTCTGAAATGGTATAGGGTTTCCTGCCTGAGCAGGGGGTTGGACTAGATGACCTCCGAGGTTCCTTCCAACTTTACTATTATTATTATTATTATTATTATTATTATTATTATTATTATTATTATTATTATTATTATTATTATTACTCATTTTCTGTTCGGGTTTCCTTCTGTCACTGGTTTGTGAGTCTTCTGAAAAGGTAAATTTAAAAACTGGCATTGCCAGTCTGCAACAGCTTCAGTTCCTGCAGCTGCAGATAACACAAATCTGAAATTATAAGTAGTTGCTCGGACCCCCCTCAAAAACTTGAAATCAATAGTTCGAGTTGTTTGACAGAATGTTATCCTGAATTTCACTCTGATGTTTTCCCTTTCACCTTGCATATAAGCTTACTGGGAAGCCTTTTTATCTCAGCTTCTTGGAGTAAGGCATCATGGACAGATAGAAGCTTAAAAAAAAAAGTGAATTTCTTTTGGACTTCAAGATATGACTTTAGATTTAGTAGGTGTTGAACGTGCAGTTGTCAATTGTGCTTTATCTTTGCCCCAGTCCCATCCCGAGTTATCTTTGGCATAAGGAACTGCCTGTTAAGATTGCAATGAAAATCAAACACATTTGAGAAGGGCCCTCTACCCTTTCTATGTTCCTTGTCTTTCTTCCTTGCTTTTATGAATTGTATTGGAATTCCTCTGACTGAAAAAACATATTTTTTTCTTGGTGTAAAATAGGCGTCTTCAGAATGCCACATTTTTGTTACCCTGTTTTCTGAAATGTACACTTCATACCTGGTTAGATTTATCTAGCCCAGCTTTCCTTAGTCAGATTAGCAGTAGCTCAGCTTCTTGAGCGTGATTCTAGTTCAACACTGAATACCTAACTTTTTAAGCTATGAAAAATAAGGATAACACAGAACCTCCCATGTAGAAAAATATACATTTCTTACTTACTTGAGATTGAAGTTTGATAGGATGTCCTATGCTATTTCTAGACTATTTTCCCAGTTCAGCTAAAAATAAATTAAATCTGTTGTCGTGTCCATTGTGCCTGTTGGTTACCTGTTTTTTTAAAATACATATTAATTCAGTTTGAATATTTACAGATACACTGTGACGAATGAGAGTGTTCTTAGTAATCTTAGTCCAATGCCTGGCAGATGGATTAGATTCTTTGCCCTGTTATGACCTTCTTTCTTCTTAAACCAGGAAACATGTTTAACTTTTAAATATGTTATTTTGTCCTATAGCCAATTAAAAATGCCCCACCTGGTAAGAAGTACGTGAGATGCCCTTGCAACTGTCTTTTGATCTGCAAAGTGACCTCACAACGCATCGCCTGTCCGCGGATATATTGGTAAGGGGTGGGGAAGGGAATTATGTAGTTATGTTCTTCAGGATGTTTTAATATTGGATCAAAAATAGCTTCCTAAACATTCTCACTCTCTCTATGTAACATTTTATGGGGGAAACAGAAGCAGGAAAAGGAAAAATAAAATCACGAAAAGAAATGAGATATTTATTTGTATTTGTTAATGCAACATATTTGTATGCTGTCATAATCACAAATTACTCTTGGTGGCTCAGAAAAATATGCATAAAGCTAGATCAATTATGTATAGGTTCTCAGAATAATGAAGTGACTTCTACACATTTAAATACCTTATGCCATTTTAAAGCTACAGATCGTTATTAAAATCAAGTAAATGTATTAATATCAACCACAGTCATGACATAAAATATAAGCTAAAATGAAAAATTTACTCTTACCTAATCACTAAGAAATCTATCCTTATTTAACAAATCATGACTTAAATGTTAAAATTTATAAAACCCCTAATTTCAGATGTAGAATAAGACCATGGGTAGAATTATAGTCCAAAAATTATAAGCTGCCAAGAGTCATTGAATACAGAATAACAGAACTGGAACGGCCCTTGGAGATCTTCTAGTCCAGACATGTCAAACACAAGGCCTGGGGGCCGGATGAGGCCCGCGAAGTGGTTTCATGTGGCCTGCGAAGCCATCCTGGAAACAGTGAGGGAACGGCCCCCTCTGCTTTGACCCTGGCCCTGGCCCAGGCCAGCCGGGAGCCAATGTACAATTTTGTGGTGGCCATCTATGCTGAAACGCATTCAGTCTTAGCTCTATAAGCCCCCCCCCCCCCCCGCATGGCCTGAGAGGAACAGTGAGGCTCCTCCAGTGGACCATGCCTTGGCACTTGCCCTGGTCCCACCCCCTTCTGCCAGAGACCCTCAGATTTGTCCCACTCCTACCCAGGCCCCCACAGGCACCCTTGATGCGAATGATGTAGAGCTGGCCACGCCCACCCAGTAGGCCACACCCACTCCATCTATGCCCACCCAGTAGGCCACACCCACCCGGCCCCCTGAGGGCAACTGCAATGCTGATGCGGCCCTCAATGAAATTGAGTTTGATACCCCTGTTCTAGTCTAACCCCCTGCTCAGGCAGGAGACCCTGTAGTATTCCAGACAAATGGCTGCCCTGCAGGGCAGTGTTTTTCAACCTTGGCAACTTGATGTGTGGACTTCAACTCCCAGAATACCCCAGCTGGGATTCTGGGGGTTGAAGTCCACACATCCTCAAGTTGCCAAGGTTGAAAAACACGGCTCCAAGGACTGCAATTGGGTGCCTTTAGAATACAGAATAACAGTTGGAAGGGACCTTGGAGGTCTTCTAGTCCAACTCCCTCCTCAAGCAGGAGACCATTGAGTTGACCATCCCATAGAAATTGAATAAATACAAATAAACAAAAAATGGTTGCCATACAAAATTGTAAGCCAGATTTATTTTTCCAAATACAAAGTAATTGTGCACATTCTTCTACTGGAGGAATCATATATTACTTTCCAACTTCCGATGCACAGCATCCTAGCAGGTGTGAGCATGTATAAAGATAATTTAGCAAATATTGTAAAAAAATTAAGACCTTTAACAATATTCAATAGAAAATAGGCAGGTTGGGGGGAAAAAAACCCCACTTTTTGACTTGGTTCCACACCGTTATAAATAAAGCAGTTTTCCAAAACTGTTGGGCTTAACAATCTATGCCGCCAAATATGGAAGAACGATCAGACCTGGGCTTATTTCTTCATGAGTGCAAAACTTAGATGTGTTTGGAGAAAAATAGGGTGTGTGTGTGTGGGGGGGGATATTTAGCTCTTTTGAATCCTGAAATCTTTTTTGGGACGGTGGGGAGGAATAGCATATTGGTGGTGTGGTCCAATAATGTGGGTGGGCTTCTGTTTTTCTGAAGAAAGAACTAGAAAGCAAAAATATGGATTGGAGTAATCAAGCTAAAAATGTGACATTTTTAGAGGAAAAAAACGTGCAGAGACAGAGAAGGAAAGGGAGATTCTCCTTCTGTCTTCTTTGTTTGAACCTGGTTTTTTTTTTCTCCTTGAAAAAGGTGTTTATGTTTAGATAATAAAAACAGTGGTTACCCTGATGAAACCAGAAAGACTAGTTGAATAAAACCCAGACGTTGGCATGTCGAAGGGCCTTAATTGAATGTGAGAAGTTAGTTGTGCTTGCCAGGTTTGGACCTGAGTTTTTTTGTTTTTTGTTTTAAATGGGGAAATGTTTAAATCCAAAATCAACTTTATTCCTCCACCCTGGCTTGAAAATAGGAGATGTTTGGTGGGGACAAGTTGATGGACAAGATAATAACCTCTACCTCTTTTCTTCCTTTGTTTTCTACCCAGTAAACGGGTCATAAACTTAGGCCCCGTTCACCCTGGCCCTCCGAGTCCCGAGCCTCAGCCCGTGGGCGTGCGTGTCAATTGCGGCCATTGCGAAAATAATTTCCTGGTAAGGGTGCTGTGGAAGAAGAAATTGGGGGGAAAAAAAATGAAGCTTAATTTGTTCCAGGCTCAGCTTTGGGTGGCGTTTGGAGACCTGTTATCGGAAGGAAAATACAGTATAAACTTACAAATTCTGATTTGAGCCCCAAGCAAGGCAGTCTTGTTGGGAACCGACCTTGCAGTGCAAAGTGGATAAAAAAAACAACAATTTTTTAATTGGCTGAGGTTGCTTGCGTCCTTTGAAATGGACACAGATTGGGTCCTCGCCTGTGAATATCTCCAACTGCGGATTTCAGTAATAAATCTGCTACAGGAAGTCCTCGACTTAATGACCACCACTGACCCCAACATTTATGTTGCTAAGGGAGAAACCTGTTAAGTGAGTTTTGCCCCATTTTGCGACCTTGGTTGCCCCATTTGTGAAGTGACTCACCGCAGTTAGTAACACTGTTGTAAAGCGAATCTGGCTTCGCCGTTGACTTTGCTCATCAGAAGTTCGCAAAAGGTCATCGCACGACGCCGGGACGCTGCAACCGTCATAAATATGAACCAGTTGTCAAGCTTCCGGATGCAAATCACATGACCCCGGGGAGGCTGCAAGGGTCGTAAGTGTGAAAAACGGTCATAGTCCCTTTTTTTTAGTGCCGTCGTAACTTTCAACGGTCACTAAATGAACTGAGACTCTAGAAAGAGTACAGAGAAGAGCAACAAAGATGATTAGGGGACTGGAGGCTAAAACATATAAGGAACGGCTGCTGGAATTGGGTATGTCTAGTTTAACGAAGAGAAGGACGAGGGGGGACATGATAGCAGTGTTCCAATATCTCAGGGGCTGCCACAAAGAAGAGGGAGTCAAGCTATTCTCCAAAGAGCCTGAAGGCAGGACAAGAAGCAACGGGTGGAAACTAACCAAAGAGAGAAGCAACCTAGAACTAAGGAGAAACTTCCTGACAGTTAGAACAATTAACCAGTGGAACAACCTGCCTCCAGAAGTGGTGAATGCTCCAACACTGGAAGTTTTAAAGAAGAGACTGGACAGCCATTTGTCCGAAATGGTGTAGGGTTTCCTGCCTGAGCAGGGGGTTGGACTCGATGACCTCCAAGGTCCCTTCCAACTTTATTATTATTATTATTATTATTATTATTATTATTATTATTATTATTATTATTATTATTATTATTATTATTAACTGTTATAAGTCGAGGACTACCTTGGAGGGGCAGCTGAGCGCGACTCTTTAAAAAAAGAATGAGCCTATTTGGTCTGCAGCCTTGAAATTGCCCCCAGTTGAGTTGTACTCTGGGCATATCGGGTTTGCAAAGAGTATATAACTGAGGAAGCCGAGGCAGGAGTGCAAAAAAAGCAGCAGCAGCTCCATGTGCAATATTCCTCTGACATATTTTGCACTGTTGCCGCGGAGATGACGATGGTCCTCGTATCGTTATCCGTCTGTCAGCGGTAAGAGTAAAGTTGCGACGTGATATTGGTCAGCAAATAAAAGAATTTCTGCTCCGTTTAAAAAAAAAAATGAGCCTATTTGTGGCAGCAAAGTGTGACTTGGGTCAGGTTGTCCTTCACAATCCTTTCTAAGCCCTTCTCTCTTTCTCTTTTGTCTCTCCAGTGGACAGAATTCACCGATCGCACTTTAGCCCGGTGCCCACACTGCCGCAAAGTGTGAGTTACTTTGGGGAAGGAATTGGACCTGGGATGCCCTCCCAAGTTTGCATTGAACGTACCTGATATTAGTAACTGGAGTGGGGGAGAGAACATGGGGGCTCATAGGAGCAGAGGTCTGCTGCATGTCCTTGGTAGACAAGGCCTCTCTCTCTGCCAGAGCTCTTGAGTTCTGGGGAGACAGGAACTTTGTGAGAGTGATTCTCGGTGCTTGATGTACTGCTTCCTTGCCCTTCTTTGTACCCCCAGCTCCTCCATCGGGCGCCGCTATCCGAGGAAAAGGTGTTTCTGTTGTCTTCTGCTGGGCGTGCTGATGGCCGTGACCGCAACGGGGTTGGCGGTGAGTCTTGAGTGAGGGGCATCTAGCTGGGGGTGGCGTGTGGGGGGGCTCCCAAAAGAGCGAGATTAGGATGAGACCTTTAAAAGATGGTCGTGTCTGGTTGACACCTGGAAATCCCAGGGCTTTGGGTTAGAATGAGAAGATTAAAAAAGTGGACGAACGTAAGAGACAAACTCCCATCGATTTGGCTGCTAAGAAGCCTTACACGCAGCGTTTCTCAACCTTGACCATTTTAAGGCATGTGGACTTCAACTCCCAGAATTCCACAGCCAGCAATGCTGGCTGTGGAATTCTGGGAGTTGAAGTCCACATGCCTTAAAATGGTCAAGGTTGAGAAACACTGCCTTACAGGGATGCGTCTTTTGAAAGTAAGAGAAGTAGTAAAGTTTGGAAGGAGCAGCTTCTCTCCCTATTCAAAATCCAGCTTCAGGAGGCTGAATTTTAAAACAATCCCTCTCGGCATGGGTCCATCCTGATTTTTAAAAAAAGAAAGGGGGGGGTTATGCATCTAAGATAGAAACTTCACCACCACGTCTCCACAACCTTCAGCACTTGGGGTCACCATTTGAGATGATTCAGTTCAAAAGAGGTTGCCGAAGCCAAAGGTTTATTGAACCACCACTCTTTGACGGTAAACCTATTAAGCTGTTTTATTGTGACGCTGATTTCTGACTCTTCTTTGATTCTCCTAGTTTGGCACCTGGAAACAAGCCCAGCAGTACAGGGGGGTCTATGCTGCCTGGGCGGTGGTGATTTTCCTGGCTTTGGTTTTCCTCGGCCGAGCTATGTACTGGGCTTGTATGAGGGTCAGCCACCCCATCCAGAACTTCTCGTGAGCCTCTTCCAAGCTCCTCTTGGTTTCCCACCGCTGCTCCACCACCTCATCTCCGGGGACCCAGCCCCATCTTCTCCCCTCCGCTTCCATTTGAAGTTGAGTCTGCCGTGCCACCTTCTAGCTGTGCCCGCTCCCAGTGTCATCGCCTGAATAACTGTGGGACAACCCTGATATCTACGAGTCTTCTTCCATCTCTTGTTGCTCTGAGCCAGGATTGGTGGCAAAAGAAAGTACAATTGGACTCCCCAAGGGAGCTGAAGCCCAGTTCTGTAGGGTTCGGAGGCAAAAGTTCCTATCGATCCTGCAAGTAACAGAACACTTAAAATCGTTCCTAAAAGAAACTTGAATGCAGCTGGATGGTTTGGGATCAAACCAGTGGCGGCTGTTCCGGTGACATTTGGAGACGGCCCCGCCCAAACAGCCCAAACCCCCTTGAGATACACTACAGGTCTTCAGCGAGGGCAGCTCAGAAGATGGCGTTCAAGATTCTCTTCTTGGCTCCCATCGGAGGCGGTTTTAAATCTTTCCTGGTCCGAGAGGAGAAGGCCAAAAGAGCGTCGAGGCGTCACTGCTGTTATCGATTTGTCCTGTTTTTTGTCATCCCGTGTTCTGTAATGTGGGGTAGCTCAAGCTGCCAGGGTTTGAGGCCGTGGCCACAATCCTTACATGTGAATGGAATGAGAGAATGGGCCCTGAGGAATGAGAGAAGGCCCGCCCCATAAAGGTTAGTACTAAAAAAAGGCCCGGGATTGGGAGCTGTCAGATGTTTCATTGAACGAATTTCAGCCCCCTACCTCCCCCTTTCTGTGATCTACAGCGGTGAGATCCAGAGGTCTTCCGCTAAAGTTTAGGTTCATTCACTGTGGGACTCATTTCTACCTTTGTTTTCTTTATCTTTGCACATTCCTTGAAGGAGCCATTTCCCTGTTTCTTGTTTTCAGGGGTGGTGGTGAGAGGAGAGCAGCTTTAGAGACCATCACGTCTCTCTTAAAGAGCCCTTTCAACCATTGCGATGGTGTTTATGTTGTTTTTGTTCGAAGTGTTGAAGGGAGAACGGCTGGTCAACGCCGCCTGCGGTGGAGTGATGGGGGCTTCATTTCAACTGTGATTTCTGTCTCAAGAGGCACAGATTCTCCCTTGCAAGACCTATCTTCTTCCAGAGCCTACTAAATTAGACTTTCATCCCTTCTTTTTGTCTTACTAGTTGATGACATAGACCAGGGGTAGGCAACCTCGGCTCTTTTATGACTCGTGGACTTCAACTCCCAGAATTCCTGAGCCAGCACGGCTCAGCTTGGAAACCTGTCCCTTTCCCCTCAGCATGGCTGGCTCAGGAATTCTGGGAGTTGAAGTCCACGAGTCATAAAAGAGCCAAGGTTGCCTACCCCTGGACTAGGCCCAGGCCACTTTCTGACTTGTGGACTTCAACTCCCAGAATTCCTGAGCCAGCATGGCTCTGTTTGGAAACCTCTCCCTTTCCCCTCAGCATGGCTGGCTCAGGAATTCTGGGAGTTGAAGTCCACGAGTCATAAAAGAGCCAAGGTTGCCTACCCCTGGCATAGACCAAAGGGGGAGGAAATGGTACATGTACTCTGTTGTACAGAGGAAAGGATGCCCTCAGTCATGCGGCAAACAAGATATTCCACTTAGGGAAACGTCTCAATCCTGCTACGAACCTGGCTTGACTTTTCTCAGCGGGACTCCTCTACCCTGTCTTCTCTCGTGGCCTCAGATTTTAATTCTCCCACCTCCACCTCATTAAGCTTATAGCCCCCAAGCCTGTTGCAGCTTGTATATAAGGAGTAAAATGTACATAGAACTATTTAAGATAAACTTTCCTCCGTGTTGGCTGCCTCTCCTGCCTGCGTGCTTGCACCGTATGTCTGTCTGTCTGTCTTTTTTTTTTCAGCCATGATTGAACATGCCGGTTGTCCTTTTCCTTCTCTTCCACAGGCACAGGAGGAATGAACTGGATGGTTGTAAATAAATAAAAAAGTAAGCTATTCCATATCCGACTAATTGGACGGGAAGCTGTTGTCTTGTGGTTTTTCAGAATCGGCCACCTTAAGGGGAGCGGGGAGATTATTTCCTTCAATTAAGGAAGGAAGTTTCTTCAATTAAGAGTTGATGTCGACGGAATGTCCTTCAATTAAGGAAGGAAATTCTTTCGATTAAGAGTTGGGTTTTATTGAATGGACTTCAGTGGAAGGAAATTCCTTAGGAGTTTGCTTAAAATGGGCAGCCGTACAAATCTTTTACGTAATTTAATTAGAAAATGGTAAAAAGGGTTTCTTTTTTTGTGACTTAATCCAATGTTCTGTTCTGGCCTCAGCAAGGCTCATTGACATGAATTGCTTGTAGCTCTGATACCTTCTTCTCGATCCACCAGTCTTCCACTAGTCCTTGTTTCACCTTGGAGGTACATGCGAGAGTGATTATCTTACAAAGGGCAATCCCATCCTTGCTGCAAGATATGTCAAGAGGTTAAAAACATTGGAAAATGAAATTCAGTGGTGAAAAAAGTAAGGTTCTACATTTAGGCAAGAAAAACCAAATGCACAGGTATAGTATAGGAGGTACCTTGCTCAATAGTAGTAACTGTGAGAGGGACCTCGGAGTCCTAGTGGACAATCACCTAAATATGAGCCAGCAGTGTGCTGCAGCTGCCAAAAAAGCCAACACAGTGCTAGGCTGCATTAACAGAGGGATAGAATCAAGATCACATGAAGTGTTAATACCACTTTACAAGGCCTTGGTAAGGCCACACTTGGAATACTGCATCCAGTTTTGGTCACCACGATGTAAAAAAGATGTTGAGACTCTAGAAAGAGTACAGAGAAGAGCAACAAAGATGATTAGGGGACTGGAGGCTAAAGCATATAAGGAATGGCTGCTGGTATTGGGTATGTCTAGTTTAATGAAGAGAAGGACGAGGAGGGACATAATAGCAGTGTTCCAATATCTCAGGGGCTGCCACAAAGAAGAGGGAGTCAAGCTATTTTCCAAGGTGCCTGAAGGCAGGACAAGAAGCAATGGATGGAAACTGATTAAGGAGAGAAGCAACCTAGAACTAAGGAGAAACTTCCTGACAGTTAGAACAATTAACCAGTGGAACAACCTGCCTCCAGAAGCGGTGAATGCTCCAACACTGGAAGTTTTTAAGAAGAGACTGGACAGCCATTTGTCTGAAATGGTATAGAGTTTCCTGCCTGAGCAGGGGGTTGGACTAGATGACCTCCAAGGTCCCTTCCAACTTTATTATTATTATAAGTCATTTTCGTTGGCTGCAATGGGGTTGATTTGTTTCACATCTTGCATTGCTGGCTGCTGGCTGAAGTTTAAATATTCGTTTCAGGTGGGCTTGGACTACCAAGGACCCTACCCAGTTTGAAATCTATAAAAACCTCTTTTGCCTTCCCAGCCAAAGTGATCCCTAAGAATACACTTAGCGAGATTGGGGAGTTTTCAGACAATGGGTGGAGAAAGACTTGGTTAGAACAGAAGGTAGATCAGCTTAACTTGGAAGGGGGCAACATTTAAGCATAGCCCGAGGTGGTTTGGGAACGCTCTTGGGTCATGTTTTAGTGGTGGCTTCCAACAGTCCCAAGTTATTCATTATGTACAGCAGGGGTGTCAAACTCAATTTCATTGAGGGCCACATCAGCATTGCGGTTGCCCTCAGAAGGCCGGGTGGGTGTGGCCTACTGGGTGGGTGTGGATGGAGTGGGTGTGGCCTACTGGGTGGGTGTGGCCAGCTCTACATCGTTGGCGTCAAGGGTGCCTGTGGGGGCCTGGGCAGGAGTGGGACAGATCTGAGGGTCTCTGGCAGAAGAGGGTGGGACCAGGGCAAGGGCCAAGGCATGGTCCACTGGAGGAGCCTCACTGTTCCTCTCAGACCATGTGGGGGCTGGATGGTGCCTGGTCAAACACCCAGCCTGGCCCTTGAGCACCCGCGGCACCAAGCCCAGCCCCACTTCCCCAAGGGGGCACCCAGCTGCACTTACCTCCTCCTCAAGGCTGCTGCTGTGCTTGCTCTCCTTAGCCAGGTTGCTCATGATGGATACGAGGGCAAAGTCAGAGGGAGGCCCATTCCCTCTCCATGGGAGGAGACCCGGCTTTGTATCCAAAGCTTCCTTAGCAATAGGATGGGAGACCCCCAGGATAGTCCAGGAGGAGGGGGCAAGGGGATGGTGAAAGGGCAGCAGGGCAGGACTAAGGCAGGACTTCCCTCAGACCCTCCCTCTCCTTTCCTTCTAAGTACAGTGTGGTGGGAAAATATTTGAGATGAGGGAGAAAAACAGACAAGAAACGCAACTGGGGATGTGTCACCCTTCGTGAGGAATGAAACTCCCGGCTGGCCTGGGCCAGGGCCAAGGCAAGGGGGGCCATTCCCTCACTGTTTCCAGGATGGCTTTGCGGGCCGCATCCGGGCCCCGGGCCTTGTGTTTGACACGTCTGATGTAGTGTTGAACAAATGAGTGCTTTAGCCAAAATCAAGCAAACGGATAAGGAGGCAGGATCACTCAGTGGTTGAAGATGCTGAGCTTGTCAGCTGGAAAGCTGGCAATGCAGTTGGAGACCTGACCACCACGTGATGGGGTGAGCTCCCGTTCCTTGGCTCCTGCTCACCTAGCAGTTTGAAAGCATGCAAATGTGAGTAGATAAATAGGTATCACTTTGGTGGGAAGGTAACAGTGTCCCGTGCACCTTTGGTGTACAGCCATGCTGGCCACGTGGCCAGCGAAATTATTGTACTCCTCAGTTTAATAGTCATGCTGGTTACGTGACCACGGAAACTTGTCTTCGGACAAGGCTGGCTCCCTTGGCTGAGAGATGAGCCCCATCCCCAGAGTCGGACACGACCAGACAGGGGAGACCTTTACCTTCAAGCAAATGGATGCACAGGAACGCACACTTAGCTTAAGGGGAAATAATGATCTGCCAACTTTCCATGACTGGAAATAAAAAGACTGCTGCACTGTTGTAAAGAGCGAAATAACGTAAGTTACCAAAGTCATTGTGAAAACCAACTTGGGAGGGAGATTCTTCCATACCACTTTGAACGTCAAGTGGGGATAAAGTTGAAACTTAAAAGGAAGCCATTGCTTAAAAAGGCCACACTTGAAATTGTTAACGGATAGCATTCAAGATAGAAAACGAGACAAGCTCTTATCGATTTACATTTTATAAAAGGGAAGTTTAATGTTTTCTGGGAAATTAAAATATGTCTTGGTGAATTACACCCTTGTCAAAGCAGCGAGAGGAAAAAAGAAAAAGGTGAGGAAGGCAGGCTACTTTTTTTTAATGAGGAGTAATAGTCAAAATAAGGAGGAAGATAGAGCTAACATCTGGAGAACAGCAGCAGTGGGGTAGCTTTTTTTTTTTTTTTTTGCAAACACTAGAAAACAAAGACTCCAGTATGACCCTTGCTATCTCAGGAATCAATGACTGCTTTTAATAGCTTGCACTCACCCCGCTCCAGCCCCACCTTTTAAGCCAGAGATGGGGAACTACAGCCCCTTTATGACTTGTGGACTTCAATTGGGTCAAGAATTCTGGGACTTGAAGATCACAAGTCATAAAAGGGCCATAGTTCCCAACCTCTGTTTTAAGCTATCTTCTCTGGAGAACTTATCCAGGCAGAAGAACGTCAAAGCAAGACCTTATTTCCAGCTAGCCCCAAAGTGGCCACACATGCCTTTTGAAAGACAGACTTTTACATTGTGGAACTGTATTAAACAGCCTGGGATGGGCCTACCTTATGGGGGGGGGAATCAAATCCTAACTCTGGAGCAGTGTTTATCAACCTTGGCGACTTTACAAAGTGTAGACTTCAACTCCCAGAATTCCCCAGCCAGCCTCGCTGGCTGGCTAGGGAATTCTGGGAGTTGAAGTCCACAATGACAGCTGCCATGGTTGAGAAACACTGCTCTAAAAGGGTTGAGTAGTCCTAGACCAGGGGTAGGCAACCTTGGCTCTTTTATGACTCGTGGACTTCAACTCCCAGAATTCCTGAGGCAGTCATGCTGAGGAGAAATGGAGGTTTCCATGCTGAGCCATGCTGGCTCAGGAATTCTGGGAGTTGAAGTCCACGAGTCATAAAAGAGCCAAGGTTGCCTACCCCTGTCCTAGACATACACATAAATTTTAGCTCCGATTTTCTTTTCCCGCTCAAGCTACAATAGGCTTGGGCCTTCGTCTGCATGTGTTACATGGCCACGTAGAGGGTGATGGGGCAGTGGTCACTGCCCAAGGCTGTGGAGCGGATCTTGCTGTCACACAGCCCTTCCTGAAGCCCTTTGGAGATCACAAAGTAGTCGAGCCGCCAGCCCACGTTCTTAGCCCGGGCGTTCATCATATAGGTCCAGAAAGTGTAGGCATATTGGGTGTCGGGGTAGAGGTGGCGGAAAGTGTCGACAAAGCCAGCTTCCAGCAGTTGGCTGAAACCAGCCCGCTCTTCTGGAGTGAAGCCGGCATTTTTCTTATTCCCCTTGGGGTTCTTCAGATCAATCTCCTGGTGGGCTACGTTGAGGTCCCCGCACAGGATAAGGGGCTTGCGGGCAGCCAAACCTTCCAGGTAAGAGCGGAAGGCCTCATCCCAACGTTGGCGGTACTCCAGGCGCACCAGTCCCCGACCAGCGTTGGGCACGTAGGTGGTCACCAGAAAGTAGGAGGAGAACTCTGCTGTGATCACCCGGCCTTCTTTGTCATGTTCTTCCTCACCTATGGCGATCAGGTAGAAGACAGGTTTAAGGGCAATGTTGACTTTGAGCAAGCCAAGGCAAGGGAGGACATGTTAGGTTCAGTTCCCTGTCTAGAGTCATTCTACCTGAAAATATGTTGTATATAGCAGGGCTTTTCAACCTTTTCACCCAATGTATCACTTTTAGGATATGGCAACATCCGAGTACCACCAGTCACCTAGCAAGATGTCAAAAACTTGATGACCCCCCCCCAAAAAAAGAAAGAAAAAAGTGATAAAAGTACAGGTAATCCTCGACTTACAACAGTTTGCTTACTGACTGTTCAAAGTTAAAATGGTACTGAAAAAAGTGCCCCCCCCAAGACACAGCTGAGCAAGACACCTGCCTGCCCACCCGGCGGCGCTCTTCCTCCTGTCCGAGGTTTTCATTGTTGTGAGCATTTCTGTTGAGGATTGGCAGCAAAGGTGGGGTGTTTGGTTTTTATTCTCCCCGTCTGCTGGGTGGTTGCAGCAGGTTTTGGTCACTTCACGTGACCCTGGGACACTGTGAACCGTCATAAATATGAATCGGTTGCCAAGCATCTGAATGTAAATCACAAGACCCTGGAGATGCTGCAACATTCCAGCCGATCGGCGCTTCTTCTGGGCTCAGCAGAAGCACCAGGATCAGTGCTGCTTTCCAGCTGGAGCCTGGCGCTGATCCTGGTGCTTCCACTGAGCCCTGACAGCTCCGAAGAAGCGCGGATCAGCTGGAAAGCAGCACTGATCCTAGCGCTTCCTCTGAGCCCTGACAGCCCTGCAGCTCCAGCCGTCTCTCGCTCAGGCTTGTGCGGTGCTGCCACTGGTTCAGCTCATTCCCCTCCCCCGCTCAGCGCTGATCCTGGCACATGTCGAGGATTACCTGTACTTTATCACTTTTTCCCCTTTTTTTTTTTTGGTCATCAACTTTTTGACACCTTGCTAGGCGACTGGTGGTACTCGGATGGTTGCCATATCCTAAAAATGGTACAATGGGTGAAAAGGTTGAAAAGCCCTGTTGTGGAGGATAATTCACGAGTCTAACAGGAAGTTAAGATCCCAAAATAAGGATGGAGGAATCCTTACCAATCCCATAGGTGACGTCCAGAGGTTTGTTCTTGGAGAGCAGGGCCACACCGCTGTAACCTTCCTTGTCATTAGAACAGGCCCAAAATTTATGGGGGTATTCGGCCAGATCCCGAATGTCAGCAGGCAGCTGTTTTTCTGCACACTTAGTTTCTTGTAAGCAGAGCACATCCGGGTCCTCTTTGTTTACCCACTACAGGGAATAAAATAAAATTTAAAAAAATAAAATTTTGATATTTGTTGACAGCTGTTACCTCTTAGTAAAAATGGGATTTGCAGATTAAAAGAGGTTAACAGAATCTCACAAAGGGTAAGTAAGGTTTGACCTGCTAACCAATGTTACTACCTGGACGGAACATAATGGAGTGAGCTAATACAGTCACCAAAATCCTCATTTTACACTTCTTACTATCCCATTGGCAGAGTGATACTGAGTAATAATTTTTAAACTGGCCTCCTTTACAAAGAAGTGAGTAACACTGCAATTGTTATGACCCTTTTTTTGCCAGTGCCCTCAAGACACACTTACAATTAAACCAAAGCCACGAAAGTGAAGCCGTGTCAGAAGAGAAAGGGGATGGGAGAACCCATTGTGTTTTCAGAGGATTATCCATTCTGACAGTCTGAAATCCTTTTACGAACATTCTTCCCAACCTTTGGTTGACTCGGGAAGACTAACATTCCTTTGCCAAGCCTAAGGACTTTCTAGTCTAGAGACAAGATATTAGATGGGTAAAAATATCACATTCTCCTGGGTTTTCTAGTGAGGAAACATTAACTATGGACCTTACTCTAAAAGAGATGCATTCTCTTCCTTATTTGAAGGGAAGAGGATATAAAAACAACCCTGCCTTGATACTTCAACCAAGCTGGCTGCTGGTAGCTCCATGGGGACTGCCTGTTCTCTTCTCCACCGCTTACAATGCCACAGTTTTTTTCTAATTGTTTTTTAATGGCCTTGCAACAATGCAGATACTGTTTTCATTCAAGATCCACAATGAATTGCAACAAACAGCCTTCCCCAGCACGAGTCCCCTCCAGATGTGTGAAATTCAGCTCCCAGGATCCTGGGATTGCGTGACCATGTGGATGCCACAATGGCCGTAAGTGTGAAAAATGGCCATCACTTTTTTCAGTGCCATTGTAACTTTGAATGGGCACTAAACGAACTGTTGTTAAGTCAAGGACTACCTGTTTATTATTTAATTAAATAATAGAATGAGATGGCCTTAGGCCAGATGTGTCAAACTCGGGACGGTTTTGCCATTGCCGGCAATGGGGTGGGCACGGCTTCTGGATGACACATCTGGCCTGTGGGCCAGCAGTTTGACACCCCTGCCTTAGGCAGAACCCTGCCATACAGCTTCCATACAGCATTGTTGCCAATATAGGTGGTCCTCGTTTAATGACTATTTGTTCAGTGGTAATTTGAACTTACAATGGTACTGAAAGAGTGATACTAGCAACCAGTCCTTGAAGTTCCAGCCATTGTGGTGTCCCACGATGGCCACAATTGGTGACATTCCTGCAAGCAAAATCAACGGGGAAGCTGGCAGGAAGTCGAAAATCACAGTCATGTGAGATCCTCACTTAACAATGGCAGTCAGAATGGTTATTGCTAAACAGTGTGGGCATGTGGGTTTTTTTCGACTTACGATCATGGCGCTGAACAGTGTTTTCAGTCCCAGTTAGCGTTATTAAATGAGTACTAGCTATACAATTACATGGAGTTGATCTCACTAGACAACATTTACAATTCCCCCTCCTAATTTATTCTGCTAGGGATGGTGTCATTCAGATGGGGACATTGTTTGGGTGGGTGTTTTTTTTTTCCTCTTTTCCTTCGAGAGCGGGCATCGGAATTTCATTTTAACGTGTGCTATTGTGTACACAGAAAAAAAAATGACAATAACGGCTATCTTATCTGATACGTGGTGCCTAGATGCAGCCTCTCTTTTTATGACATTCTCTGCTCAACCTTTGGGTGAGGATAGAGAAAAACCACTGCAGGCACACCCAACGTGGAAGGAACCAGTTACTGGTCACTGTAGGACCACTGTAGGAAAAGAAAAGGCTGGAGTCGTCGTCTGGGTTACCTCCAGGCCCTTCTTCTTGACCCAGGCTCGGATGCCATCTACGTTCCAGGAAGTGACCTTCAAGGTATATTTTTTGCCACTGGATGAAGTGAGCTTATCAGGAGGATCTTGGTACAAGATTGGACCCTCAGCCTCTTTCTCTGCTTTTGCTCCACCTTTTTTGGCCCTTTTAGGCTCTGGTTCTGAAGGAAAGAGAAACAAGACACAACATGAAGAGGGGAGGGGGGAGAAACACACGTTTGTTTGATGAAAATCGGACTCCACTGGAAACAGATAGTCCCTGACTTACAACAGATCGTTCAAAGTTGCAGCGGCACTGAAAAAAGTGACTTTGACCTTTTTTTCACAATTAACGATGGTTTCAGCATCCCGACGGTCACATGCTCAAAATTCAGAGGCTTGGGCACTGGCTCCTATTTTTCGATGGGTCATGTGCGATCACCTTTTGCCACCTTCTGACAAGCAAAGTCAACAGGGGAGACCAGATTCACTTAATAACCATGTGACTAACTTAACAACTGCAGTGATTTATATAAGGAACGGCTGCTGGAATTGGGTATGTCTAGTTTAATGAAGAGAAGGACGAGGGGGGACATGATAGCAGTGTTCCAATATCTCAGGGGCTGCCACAAAGAAGAGGGAGTCAAGCTATTCTCCAAAGCAGCACAAGAAGCAACGGATGGAAACTAATCAAGGAGAGAAACAACCTAGAACTAAGGAGAAACTTCCTGACATTTGGAACAATTAACCAGTGGAACAACCTGCCTCCAGAAGCGGTGAATGCTCCAACACTGGAAGTTTTTAAGAAGAAACTGGACAGCCATTTGTCCAAAATGGTATAGGGTTACCTGTCTGAGCAGGGGGTTGGACTTGATGACCTCCAAGGTCCCTTCCAACTTTTTATTATTATTATTATTATTATTATTATTATTATTATTATTATTATTATTATTATTATTATTATTATTATTATTATTATTATTATTATTAGACTGTGGCAAGAAAGGTCGTGAAATGAAAAAAACCTCACTCAACAAATGCCTCACTTAGCAACAGAAAATTTGGGCTCAAATTTTGTGCTCGTAACTCCAGGACTACCTGTAATCAGGTAAGACTGATTTTAAAATTTGGCTCCTTTTCTACAGACTTGCATGAGTTCATTTGTAGAACGAGAGTCATGTTCTAACCAAGATTGAGAAAGGAGCAGTGGTCATATCTAAAAAGAGAGGGGATTTTACAGGTAGTCCTCAATTTATGACCACAACGGAGCCCAAAATTTATACTGCTAAGCAAGATGGTTGTTAAGTGAGTTCTGCTCGGTTTTACAACTTTTCTTGCCACAGTTGTTAAGTGAACCACTGCAGCTGTTAAGTTAGTAACACGGTTGTTAAGTGAATCTGGCTTCCCCATCGACTTTGCTTGTTAAACAGTCGCAAAAAGGGGATTACATGACTCCGGGACACTGCAACCGTCATGAGTCAATTGCCAAGCGTCTGAATTTTGATCATATGGCCATGGGGGTGCTGCAAAAAGTGTAAAAACCAGTCATAAGTCACTTTTTTCAGTGCCGTTGTAACTTTGAACGGTCACTAAACGAACTGTTGTAAGTCGGGGACTACTCATTCTCATTCCTACTTAATAATAATAATAATAATAACAACAACAACAATTACAAAAGGCGGCCTTACTAGGAACTGCTTCCATCCTGCGACGATATCTGTAATACCATCAAACATCCACATCTGCCTATCCCAGGTCCTTGGTAAGGACTCGGTAGGTAAACAAAATGCCAAATCCAGTCTGAACATCTGGCTCACTGTGCGATGATCCATAATAATAATAATAAAGTTAGAAGGGACCTTAGAGGTCATCTAATCCAACCCCCTGCTCAGGCAGGAAACCCTACACCATTTCGGACAAATGGCTGTCCAGTCTCTTCTTAAAAACTTCCAGTGTTGGAGCATTCACCGCTTCTGCAGGCAGGTTGTTCCACTGATTAATTGTTCTAACTGTCAGGAAGTTTCTCCTTAGTTCTAGGTTGCTTCTCTCCTTGATTAGTTTCCATCCGTTGCTTCTTGTCCTGCCTTCAGGCGCTTTGGAGAATAGCTTGACTCCCTCTTCTTTGTGGCCCTCAGTTGCTTTAAGATGTGGACTTCAACTCCCAGAATTCCTCTGCCTGCATGCTGGCTGGGGAATTCTGGGACATGAAGTCCACACATCTTAACGTGGCCCAGATGAGACAAATTGTTCTACGGTGATCTGCTGGATTTGAGCCCTGAACAGGTTTAACTGATATAAATCCCATCCCTATGAAATGTCACAACTTCCTTGATTCACCAGAGATTCCTTACATTTATTTCTCTCCCTTTCTCTGCTCTGAACAGAAAGACAGAAGCAGCCAGCTGGTGGTTCATCGCCCAGAGAGATCAAAAGCTCTAATTTTGTTGCAGCCAAGTGTGACAAACCTCAATGTGGGTCAGGGGAAGAGTGCTGAAGGATACATGGCGTCATTTAACAAATAGGAGGACTTGGAAAGTCAGGGAGCACCAAGAAGGACCTCAGGTCAAAAAGACAACATGCTACAATGCAGGGCATCATAAAATAAGGGGCAGCTCCCTTTCGCAAATCAATCCCAATTTTTTTTTTTAAATTTATACATTTTATTAAATACAAAATTAAAAACACTGAACGTAGTGTATCATCCTTGACATATATCTTTGTCGTTCCATACTGTACACACAAGAGTAAACATTATATATTTATATGCAGCTATACATTTCTAATATTCTTCCTCTACTTATATCCCTTCTATTCACTTCCTTTTTTCCTTCCATTTGTAAAATTTATTCCAAATTAAGTAGTATTCTGTTTCCTCCTGGTTTTTTTTTTAACTCTTTAGTCATCTTATCCAATTCTACGCAATACAAATTTTTTCTTATTAGCGCATCTCCGCTAGGCACTTCAAAGTTGCTTTCCAATTTGGGGCAAACAAAATTCTTGCCGCCGTTATCGCATGTATGATTAAATATATATATATCACCTTTGTTTATATTTTTTTCTAATATTCCTAGTAGTAGCATCTCTGGTTTATATTGGATTTTCTGACCATACCTGCTGCCTCCTTCTCTGCTGGAAGGACTTCAACTTCTTTCTTCTTTCCTCGTTTTGGCATTGCAGGTCCCCAAGTGGGTCTCGGATGAAGGATCCGCCTGCCTTGCTTTGCCAATGATAGGCTTCTCAACAATAGCGTCTCCTGGAAAAGATGACCACAACTGGCATGCAGCAGTAGCAGTAGCACTTATATACCTCCCCACAGTGCTTTACAGCATTCTCTAGGTGGTTTACAGAGTCAGCCTATTGCCCCTCAACAATCCGGGTCCTCATTTTACCGACCTCGGAAGGATGGAAGGCTGAGTCAACCTTGAGCCGGTCAGGATCGAACTGTTGGCAGTGGGCAGAGTTAGCCTGCAATACAGGTAGTCCTCGACTTATCGACCACAATTGAGCCCAACATTTGCTAAGTGAAAGATTTGTTCAGTGAATTTTGCCCCATTTTACGACCTTTCTTGCCACAGTGGTTAAGTGAATCACTGTTGTTAAATTAATAACATGGTTGTTAAGTGAATCGGGCTTCCCCATCGACTTCGCCTGTCAGGAAGTCCCAAAAGGGGATCACACGACCCCCTTTTGGACGCTGCAACTGTCATAAATATGAGTCAGTTGCCAAGTAGCTGAATTTTGATCACATGACTGTGGGGATGCTGCAACGGTTGTAAGTTTGAAAAACAATCTTAAGTCACTTTTTTCAGTGCCACTGTAACTTTGAATGGTTATTAAATGAACTGTTGTAAGTTGAGGGCGACCTGTAGTGCATTCTATCCCCGTTTACACCCAAACAGGCTTTATTTTCCCTCAGAATATCCTGAGAGCCGCCTTCTTCCTCCTCCAAATGCATCCACTGTTCCTCTCTTCCATCAGCAACCCACCTTCCTGACCCCACAAAAATGACTCGCTGGTCATCAATTCTGCCCATTTGCAAAGAATCCGTTCCAAATTAAAACTTCTGTTCTTAGGAGAATTAATTGGATCTTGGAAGGCTTGTTGTTGTTGTTGTTAATTGCGAAGTCGTGTCCTACCCATCGCGACCCCATGGACAACGTTCCTCCAGGTCTTCCTGTCCTCTACCATCTTCTGGAGTCCATTTAAGTTCACGCCTACTGCTTCAGTGACTCCATCCAGCCCCCTCATTCTCTGTCGTCCCCTTCTTCTATTGCCCTCAATCTTTCCCAGCATTAGGCCCTTCTCCAGTGAGGCCTTCCTTCTCATTAGGTTGGCCAAAGTATTTGAGTTTCAACTTCAGGATCTGGCCTTCTAAAGAGCAGTCGGGGTTGATCTCTTCTAGGACTGACCGGTTTGAACGCCTTGCAGTCCAAGGGACTCGCAGGAGTCTTCTCCAGCACCATAGTTCAAAGGCCTCAATTCTTTGTCGCTCAGCCTTTCTTATGGTCACATCCATACATTGCAACTGGAAAAACCATGGCCTTGACTATACGCACTTTTTGTTGGCAGGGTGATGTCTCTGCTTTTTAGTATGCTGTCTAGATTTGCCATAGCTTTCCTCCCCAGGAGCAAGCGTCTTTTAATTTCTTGGCTGCAGTCCCCATCTGAGGTGATGATCTTGGAGCCCAGGAAAATAAAATCTGTCACTACCTCCATTTCTTCCCCATCTATTTGCCAGGAATTGAGAGGGCTGGATGCCATGATTTTGGTTTTCTTAATATTGAGTTTCAAGCCAACTTTTGCACTCTCCTTCTTGGAAGGCTACAGCCATTTAATTGGCTGACATATCTTTTGGCCAACAGCAAGCCTCCAAAGTCCTTGATGAGAACAAAGGACAAATGATTTAGATAGTTAAGATGCCAAAAATTGCATGAATATCACTTTCCTCAAAGCAAATGACATGATGAAGGTTGTCTCCCAAACACCCTCTCCTTTGCAGGAGAAACAGTGGATGAGAGAGAGAGAGCTTTACTTTCCAAACAGGGTCAAAATATCTCAGCTGAACACAAGCCAACAATGTCATGCAGCTACTAAAAATATAATTAATGCTGCTTTATTCTGCAGTGCTAGAAGCACGCCGAAAAAAAGCACATTTTGTACTGATGGGGACCTTTTTAATTTTGAGAGTACCAGCAGACCTCGGCTTACAACCACAATTGGGACCAGAATTTCTGTCACCTGAAATATTGCATCCAGCTTTGGTCATCACATTACAAAAAAGATGTTGAGACTTTGGGAAAAGTGCAGAGAAGAGCAACTAGCCTGGAGACTAAAACACATGAAGAACGGTTACAGGAACTGGCTATGGCCAGTCTAGAGAAAAGAAGAACTAGGGGTGACGTGATAGCAGTATTCCAGTATTTGAGGGGCTGACACAAAGAAGAGGGGGTCAATTTATTTTCCAAAGCACCAGAGGGCAGGGCAAGAAACAATTGATAGAAACTAAACAAGGAGTGAATCAACCTGGAATTAAGGAGAAACTTTCTAATAGTGAGGACAATTAACCAGTGGAACTACTTGCCCACAGAAATTGTGGGTGCTTCATCACTGGAGGCTTTTAAGAAAAAGCTAGATGGTCATTTGTCTGAAATGGCATAGGATCTCCTGCTTGAGCAGGGGGTTGGACTAGAAGACCTCCAAGTTCCCTTCCAATTCTGTTATAACTTGCAGAATCTAAGCAGCCTAACAAAACCAGGGTGGGCTTCCTGTTGCTTGAATCCTGCTGTAGGGTCTTCTGCTTGAGCAGGGGGGTTGGACTAGAAGACCTCCAAGGTCCCTTCCAGCTCTATTCCGATTGACCAAACCTCTTTTCATTGTATCCTCAATAGTTTTGGCAATATCAAAGGTTAATACATCAAAATTCTATCAATGGTTAGCAATACGACAGAATGAGAAAAGGTTATGAAATTAAATAGGATAAATGATACTTTTTAATAATAATAATAAAGTTGGAAGGGACCTTGGAGGTCATCTAGTCCAACCCCCTGCTCAGGCAGGAAACCCTATACCATTTCAGACAAATTGCTGTCCAGTCTCTTCTTAAAAACTTCCAGTGTTGGAGCATTCACCACTTCTGGAGGCAGGTTGTTCCATTGGTTAATTGTTCTAACTTGTCAGGAAGTTTCTCCTTAGTTCTAGGTTGCTTCTCTCCTTGATTAGTTTCCATCCGTTGCTTCTTGTTCTGCCCTCAGGTGCCTTAGAAAATAGCTTGACTCCCTCTTCTTTCTTGCAGCCCCTGAGATATTGGAATACTGCTATCATGTCCCCCCTCGTCCTTCTCTTCATTAAACTAGACATACCCTTTATTTATTCAACTTTTATCTTATCTGATTGCTGTGAATACTCTTATATTTCCGATTTTACCTATAAGTAATTATAATTAATAAGCAATATATTAGTATTTATAAGTTTATTTATAATTATATTCAATTAGTAATATAGTAATACTACATTAATTATTGTTATTCGTAGAATGAATAATATGTATTGGTTAATTTTTCATTCTTATTAGTAGTGATAGGTCTATTTAACATAGCTGTTTAGTATTATATTAACTACGGACATTTAATACGTACACCCGGACGGTAGTCTGCTTGCTAAAGTGTCGATTTATTGGTGGGGGTAACCCCACTATTGTACCTATCCCTACCTTTGGTTTAATCCTTGTTCTTTACCCTATGTTGTACCTCTACCTATTTCATTCCCTCCCCATCCCTATAAAATCCAATAATATATATACATAAATAAAATTTGGATTGCTAACAAAGAATTAAGGGAGAATGGGATAGCTATTTTGAACTTTTTAGCTCTCATCAGACAAACATACCCTTCTGAGATTCGAACCTGGGCTGCCTGCATGTTAAAAAAAAAGATTTCTTTCTCCCATATTTGGGTCGACAGGGTGCATCAAAAAGCACTCAAGGTAATTTATACCCCTATTTCATTCCCTCCCCATCCCTATAAAATCCAACTATATATACATATATACATATACATATATATATATATATAAAAGCACGGGGGGGGTGTTAAAAAATGCAAAGAGGGAAGGCCGGACACCGATCCTTGCTCGTTTATGGATGAAATGCAATTAGGAAAAGCCTTATCAAAATAATGATTTTATGTTAAGCCACGTCGGCTCTCACCACGCCGGACCGCGAGGTTTTCCTCCACGCACCCCAAAGCGGCTGCAAAATCCGCAGGAATCCCTGAATGGAGAGAGAGAGAGAGAGAGAGAGAAACACGTGGAGTGGAGATGGTCACGTGACAGAGGCTGAGGCGGGCAAGAGGCGGGGCTTCCTCTTAAAGCGAAAGGAAACGCCGCGGCAGAGGAAGAGATCGAGGAACGGCTCGATTCGGCTCGGCAAAGAAGAGGTTAAGAGAAGACTGGGTCAGAAAGCGCCCTCACACGTGCCGAGGGAGGAGGCGGGGTTTAATGACCGGGTGACGTCAGGCGTTGCCTCTCTAACCGCTCCCGGAAAATTGTCTGCAAACCCTTGAAGCATCAACACTTTCGGTTCCCAATCGAACAACCAAGAGGAGGGTCGTGATTGATCACATATTGCTTGTTATGTGCACTGAGAGCTTATACACCGGAGGCAAATTCCTCGTGTGTCCAATCACACTTGGCCAATAAAAAATTCCATTCTGTAATGAAACGTCTGCTAGAAATTAACCAAGCTCAGAAAGCACCAAAGACCCCTCACACTTTCTAATCCTCACGTGACGGCTGTCAAGTGAAAGCCGCTCGTGTATGCTGTACGGTACACGAGGGTCTTTTGTCTATCTCTAGAAAACCTCCTTAGAGTTTTAAGAAAAGGGAGGGGGAGAACTCGATGCGATTTAACCCTTTCTTTGCGGCTGGGTTTTCCTTCCAAGATACTTTTGTTGCACGCGTGGTTTTCCCGTGTACTGCTGCTGGCGTTGAACTTTTCGAAATAAAGCAACGTGGGGAAGGCGGACCTGGCATCAAGAGGAAAGAAACCGGAGGTAAGACGTAAAAGGTTCATTTTCCCCAAATTTCCTGTATTGCCGCCCGGCTATAACAAGGAAATCGTGCCTGGCGATCCGCTGGGATCTTAGGATCGCTGCAGATTCCCGGGTCTCCGTGGCTTCTGTTGCAAGAAATCAAATTTCATTTTCTTTCGGGTGTTCCAGGAAGAGATGCCCGTAGTGATCGGCTTTGAGGGCAGCGCCAACAAGATCGGAATTGGGATTGTCAGGGATGGGGAAGTGCTGAGCAATCCCCGACGGACATATGTAACCCCTCCGGGACAGGGTAGGTATCTTGATGGACAGTGGTTAATATTTATACGTATTTATATGTAAGGGTGCAGGTATAAGCATATGTATGTATATAGCATGTTTGTATGTGTGTTATGTATGTGTACACTTTTGAGAGCAGGGAACAGAATTTCATTTTTAATGTGTGCCAGGGTGCCCACAGTAAAAAAAAAATAACAATAAAGGTTATCTTGTGTTATTTCCCATGAATGGTCTTATCCAGCCTAGTGCTTTTTAGTTGCACTTCAACTCCCAGAATTCCTAGTCGGTGTGGTGCAGGGGTAGGCAACCTTGGCTCTTTTATGACTCGCGGACTTCAACTCCCAGAATTCCTGAGCCAGCATGGCTCAGCTTGGAAACCTCTCCCTTTCCCCTCAGCATGGCTGGCTCAGGAATTCTGGGAGTTGAAGTCCACAAGTCATAAAAGAGCCAAGGTTGCCTACCCCTGGTGTGGTGCCAAGGAAGGGATCCTGGGAGTTGAAATCATTGGAGGTCTCCAGCCTAAAAAGGCGATGAGAGTAGGTGGCCCGCTTGCTGAAAGAATTCAGCATTTTTCCTGGATTTAAAGAAGTGGAGCCAGATTAATTAAAAGAAAATAATAATTCACTCAGTCTTAAGTGTATTTACATAGATCTGTCCTCATGTCCCCAAAAAGAGAAAACAGTTTGATTGGCGAAAATAAGGGAGCAGGGCCTTTTTTGTGATGGCTCCTCCATTTTGGAATAAAGTAGAATTAGTATTATAGGTAGTTATCCATTTAGAACCATTCATTTAGTGACTGTTTGAAGTTACAACAGCATTGAAAAAAAGTGACTTATGACGGTTTCTCACACTTAGGACTGTTGCAGCATCCACGTGATCAGAATTTGGGCACTTGGCAACTGGCATGTACTTATGACAGTTGCACTGTCCCGGGGTCATGTAATCACTATTTAAAACTTTCCAGGCACCTTCCGACAAACCCAGTCAAAGAAGGGAAGCCAGATTTGCTTAATAACTACACTATTTATTTAACAACCACAGTGATTCACTTAACAACTTTGGCAAAAAAAACCTTTGTAAAATGGGTGTAATACACTTAACTGGCTCAATTGTGGTCGTAAGTCAAGGACATCTGCACTCATTACAAGCATCTGTCCAAGTTACAAAACAAAACACAATTACAATAGCTTATGTTATATAAAAGTATAAGCTTTAGTATTAGCATTTTATTAAAGGTGATACTAGCAATTTAGCATAGAAGGCTGCCTTTTTTTTTGAAGTTTAAGAAACCATGTTTTTCCTTTAAACCAAAACCATTTCCTCTGATGTGCAAAAAGTAGTTTTTTTCAGGGACAGTGATGAGAAACACTATATTCTAAAGACATTAGCTAAAGTTGCAAGTGTTGAGAAAGAAAACATAATTACAAATTGATCCAACCACATTAGCTTGGGCTTAGATAGCACAGAATGTGGATCCATCTTTTTTCAACCTTGACCTTTTCCCATTTTGGTCCCACTCTGTAGGTTTCCTTCCAGGTGACACGGCACGCCACCACCGTTCTTGCGTTCTTACTGTGTTGCACGAAGCCCTAGAAGAGGCTGGATTGAAACCTCGGGACATTGATGCAGTGGCTTTCACCAAAGGTGAATCTCTTTTCTTAAAGGGAAGGAGACACATGGATTCTTTAAAGCATGAGGATATCCAACCTTGGCAACTTTTAAAACTTGTGGACTTCAACTCCCAGAATTCCCCAGCCAGCATGGCTGGCTGCAGTGGTGGGATTCAAATACCTGAACAACCGGTTCTCTTATTGGATGCAGGCCTGGGCCTCTGAGGCCTAGAATGGACTTCCGGAAGTGGCATCCACGCACTTCCGGCGGGCCGTTCTAGGCTGGGGAGGCGTCCTCCAAGCCTCCGAGACCTAGAATGGACTTCCGGAAGCAATGTACATTCAGCCGGTTCTCTGAACTCAGCAAAATTTAGCTACTGATTCTATCGAACCGGTGCGAACCGGCTGAATCCGACCACTGGATGGCTGGGGAATTCTGGGAGTTGAAATCCACAAGTCTTAAAGTCGCCAATGTTGGGGTCTCCTGTTTTAAGGTATTTTGATTAAGGGTCCTTGAAGAACCTATAACTCAGGGGTAGTCAACCTTGGCTCTTTTATGACTCGTGGACTTCAACTCCCAGAATTCCTGAGCCAGCTGTGCTGGCTCAGGAATTCTGGGAGTTGAAGTCCACGAGTCATAAAAGAGCCAAGGTTGACTACCCCTGCTATAGCTGTACTTCATCTTCTTGTACCCTTCTTATTGGCCATGTTGGCTGGACTTGCAGAGAACTGAAGAACCAGCATCTGAAGAACCACAACTTCTCTGCTCCTAGACAATCTTCCTAATTTAAGCTTGTTTTATATGCCCCAGATTGGTAGAGTAAAATCGTTGAATGGTCTATAATAATCTGTAAGACCTACCAAAAACAAATAAACCAATGCAAAATAAAATCTGAGAGCCGTACATCAATGCTGTATTGGATTTAATGCATATTTTTCTATCTTTCAGGCCCAGGGATGGGAGCTCCACTGGTGACTGTAGCTGTTGTTGCCAGAACTGTGGCCCAGTTGTGGGGGAAGCCACTTCTGGGAGTGAATCATTGTGTCGGACACATTGAGATGGGGCGGCTTGTGACCGGTGCAAAGAACCCAACAGTGTTGTACGTCAGTGGTGGGAACACTCAGGTACTGAGGAAGAGAAGGGATTTCTGGGTTTGCATGGTTGTGCTAAACCATGGTTTGATATAAACCATAGTATCCCAAGTCCATACATATCACTTTAACCCCAAAATCATGCTTCACAGAGCAGGAGTTGAGTTCATGCCCCACCAAAATAAAAACCAGGAAACCATATCATGGCTTAGTGGAAAGCATGGTCTCAGCTTGAAACTCAATTCACACACTATGCTAAATAATCCACAGTTGGTTCGCAGTGGCCAGATTTAGTACAGGGGTAGGCAACCTTGGGTCTTTTATGCTGGCTCAGGAATTCTGGGAGTTGAAGTCCACGAGTCATAAAAGAGTCAAGGTTGCCTACCCCTGGTTTAGTGCAAATAAGCACTTCTGAGCAGGCAGTGTCGTTAAGTTTCTTAATTCTGAATAGAGAGTGGAGAATGGAACGGAACAGAATGGAATAGAATAGAATAGAATAGAATAGAATAGAATAGAATAGAATAGAATAGAATAGAATAGAATAGAATCCTGCGAATTTACAAGACAGATGGCATAGGGCAGTGATGGCGAACCTTTTAGAGACCGAGTGCCCAAACTGCAACCCAAAACCCACTTATGTATTGTCGGGTGCCGGGTGGGTGTGGCCCATTGGGTGGGCGTGGCCCATTGGGTGGGCGTGGCTGCAGTGGTAACGTCACACTGGGTGGGACTAAAAAGTTCAATCAATTCCAACTTTGCGAGATCTTTTTTTTCCCCGCGAGAAGTTGAAATTGATTGATTGATTGAACCCTCTTTTGTTTTGCACACGGCGGCGGAGGCCTAAAGCGAAAAGGTTTTATAAAACCCAGCTGAAGGCCTAGGACTGGGGTGACAGTGCGCGTGTCCACAGAGAGGGCTCTGAGTGCCACTTGTGGCATGCGTGCCATAGGTTCGCCACCATGGGCATAGGGAACAAAAGCTGTTACAGAATCTGGTAGTCCTGCTGTAAATACTTCGAAACCTCCTCCCAGAGGGGAGCAATAGAAACAGACCTTGAAGTGGGTATATGGGGTCTCTAACAATGCTTCGAGCTCTAAGCACATATAAGTGCTTATAAGCAGCATCCTGATAAAACGGGAAGCAAACTTCCTATAATCTTCTCGGCTGTCCTTCTATCTGAGGCACTGCTGCCACCAAACCAGACAGTGCTGCAATTTGTTAAATGCTCTCAATTGGGCCTCTGTAAAAAGTGGCCAGGACAGAAGGAGAAAGATGTGCTCTCCTCATCAGATGCAGGAAATGCAGACGCTGGTTTGCACGCTTCACTAAAGATGATGTATGAAGAGACCAAGTCAGATTTGTAGTTATCTGCACCCCCAGATACTTAATACTGTTGACCACCTCCACAGCTACAGCCTGATACAAAGTCCAGCACTGTCAAAAAGCTTGATGTGAAAAGAAGACAGTAGTAACCTAACTGTAGGAGACAGGTTTGGTCTGATGGCATGTGTCCAGCCAATAACATCTGGTCCAAACCATCATTATTTTCTAGGGCTCATCAGTAAAGCAGTAACTCTAAGTTGGACTTTCTTTGTAGTCACCTGTGTCCTCTGGAACTCCATTCCCCTTGAAGACCACATGGACCTGATGTTGTCTTTTCAGAAAGCTTTAAAGACTTGGCTTTTCCAGCAGGCCCTGGGACAGGGTGCCTTAGGGTTCCACTTGTTGATTTACATGTTATAGTGCACAATTCATTTTGTGGATTCCCCAGAGATAGGCCTTACCAAACACATTGCTGTTTTGCTTGATTTATCTTTGCCATGTTATTGTTTTGAACCTAATGAGTTCCAACTAAGAAGGTGGGAAAAAGAACTTTGGTTGGCCCACCTGGATCTCAGGAACGTCAAGTGTAAGTGAAGGGGGTTATAACTGTGTCTGCCTCTTCCTCCCATCCAGGTCATTGCATACTCTGAGCATCGTTATCGTATATTTGGGGAAACTATAGACATTGCTGTGGGAAACTGCCTGGATCGTTTTGCTCGAGTGTTGAAGGTAAATACGGCCGAACGTAGATGAGAAGGCAAGTTGGCTTCGTTAGATCGTATGTGAGAATTATGGGACTTCTTTCTGAATGTACACATTTGGAAGAGGTTCAGTAGGGCTATGTGGTGTATCAGAGATCCTTTGAGGCTGAGAAAACAAGTATGGCAGGGGTCTTCAAACGTGGCCCTTTTATGACTTGTGGACTTCAATTCCCAGAATTCCTCAGCCAGGCACGCTGGCTGAGGAATTCTGGGAGTTGAAGTCCACAAGTCATAAAAGGGCCAAGTTTGAAGACCCTGAACTATGGGGTCTATTTTCTCCCTGATTATTTCATGAAGACACAGATGAAACTGGAGGAGGAGCATAACCTGGTACATATCTATGGAGATTCTCAGTCATCCAGGTCATGGGTGTATCAAAGGTGCTTTTCCAAAAGGCAACTGGGCTTTGTTTTTTTCCTTGAGGAAGGTGTTTTGCTTCTCATCCAAGAAGCATCATCTGAAGTCCAGTTGCCTTTTGAAAAAGCACCTTTGAGACATAACCTGGTACCTTTAGAGATGTTGGAACATCTCCCTCAACATCTCCAATCAAGATGTGCTGACTTGTAGATCAGAGAAGTTGGACTCTTAACACCCAAAGTCTGCCAAGTTGGGTTATCCTAATACTTTGCAGTTTAGCCTCTGAATATATACAGGAGAGTAAGTTGCATGTACAAGAAGGAAATGTCAGCCAAAACAATATTACAGATAGTCCCTGACTTAAAACCAATCTTTGCTTTCTTTTGCTACAGTCATTCTACTTCTATTTGCAGGTCTATATCTTTTTCTTATTTTATCCATTTTTTTTGTCTTTTGCTATCTCTGGGTACTACCCATGGACATTGTGTCTGTCCTATTGATGATTGTTAAGTCAGGTCATTGATGATTGCCAAGCCAGTTATTATTATTGTGGAAATCTGATTCTTTCATTCACTTCTTGACTTAGATCTCAAATGATCCCAGTCCAGGCTACAACATCGAACAGATGGCCAAAAAGTAAGTCATAACAAGGGGAAAACTCTCACACAATCATTTTCTTTGTTCTGTTAAATGTATTTAATAGGTACTAGACGTGGGTTCCATATCCTTAGTTTGGACCAAAATTAAATAATTTTGACAAATACACAAAATCTTCAGGAAGGATCTCAGAAGGCCATAGGAAAACGTTAGCAGGATCCATGTCTTTTCCATGGGTGTATTTAGTAGATTATGTTGATATTATCCATTTAATCGTGTCTGGCTCTTGGCAATGCCATGGGCCACATCGCTCCACATCTTCCAGTCTTGCACTATTCCTTTGAGTTGTTCTATGTTCTGTCTGGTATCAGCTTTTATAGTGTCCAGCCATTGTGTTCTTTGACGACCTGGTTTCCTTTTACTGCTAACTCTCCCCAACATGATTGTTTTCTCCAGTGAATTTCCCCACGTGACATGGCCAAAGTAAGCGAGGTGCAGTTTTGTGATTCTATTTAGTAAAAAATTACCCTAACTGGCCTCTTCTGAAGTCTGTATTTTCAACAAATGATGATCCAAATACGATCCTCATATATTTTACTAAGTCAAGCAAAAGATATTGGTTGCAGTTCCTTTTCTGCTATATGCTGTAAAGATAAACCTGCAGGGTGGTGGCATCAAGATCATTAATACAATCATTAAGTGTGGCCTTACAATGCTTGGTAAGGCCACACTTGGAATACTGCATCCAGTTTTGGTCACCACGATGTAAAAAAGATGCTGAGACTCTAGAAAGAGTACAGAGAAGAGCAACAAAGATGATTAGGGGACTGGAGGTTAAAACATATAAGGAACGGTTGCTGGAATTGGGTATGTCTAGTTTAACGAAGAGAAGGACGAAGGGGGACATGATAGCAGTGTTCCAATATCTCAGGGGCTGCCACAAAGAAGAGGGAGTCAAGCTATTCTCCAAAGCCCCTGAAGGCAGGACAAGAAGCAATGGATGGAAACTCATCAAGGAGAGAAGCAACTTAGAACTAAGGAGAAACTTCCTGACAGTTAGAACAATTAACCAGTGGAACAACCTGCCTCCAGAAGCGGTGAATGCTCCAACACTGGAAGTTTTTAAGAAGAGACTGGATAGCCATTTGTCCGAAATGGTGTAGGGTTTCCTGCCTGAGCAGGGGGTTGGACTAGATGACCTCTAAGGTCCCTTCCAACTTTTTATATTATTATTATTATTATTATTATTATTATTATTATTATTATTATTATTATTATTATTATTATTATTATTATTATCAATATTATCAATATTATTATTATTATCAATATTATTATTATCAATATTATTATTATTATTATTATTATTATTATTATTATTATTATTATTATTATTATTATTATTATTATTAAGGTGGTGGTCCTTCTCTCATCTTTTGAAAAATAGAAGCTGGCTTCATTGCTCTGTTTCTTGTTTTTTTGCAGAGTGAGGATTATTTGGGTTCTGCAGGGCTGTGTTTCTCATCCTTAGCAACTTTAAGCTCTGTGGAGTTCAGGGTGACTGGGGAATTCTGGGAGTTGAAGTCCACATGGCTTGAAGTTGCTAAGGTTGAGAAACCATGCTCTAGAAAGACACCATATCTTAGATTATAGCTCAATACAGGAGAAGGAGATTCAACACTTCCTCTTTTCTTCTTCAGGGGTCAAAAGTTGGTCGAGCTTCCCTATACAGTGAAAGGCATGGACGTGTCATTCTCTGGGATTCTGTCCCACATAGAGGTAGGATTCAAATCCCACAAAGCATCAGTTGGAAATTTAGTGGAGGAACTTTTCTTTTTTAAATGCTGTCTGTAAGAGCACAACCAAGTCAACTCCCAGCCAATTCGGTGGGTCTCAAAATTGCTCAGCAGGTTAACCCTTGGATGCAACACCACCAGGAAATGATCCATTTGCTAGGAGCTGAGCTCAAATGAAAAGAGCTTTAAATGCTTGTTCTTTCTCCACGGCTACCTGTTATGGCTACTTATTTCTTTGCCCATTGTGGTGTTTTTGGGAAGCTGCTAGGCTCTTACCTCTGACTTGTGAGTCTCAAAGGGGTATGTGGTTGTCAATAGCAGGAATAGGATAGAGCACTAGAGCACCTTTAGCCAGATTCAACCTGCCTTCAGTACATGCTCACCCTGCTTGCCCAGCATACAAAAAACTTGATTCTATTTTCCTTCCATTGTTTTCATCAGTTACGCAGTGTTTCTCAACCTTGACAATTTTAAGGCATGTGGACTTCAACTCCCAGAATTCCACAGCCAGCAATGCTGGCTGTGGAATTCTGGGAGTTGAAGTCCACATGCCTTAAAATTGTCAAGGTTGAGAAACACTGAGTTACGGTGAGCTGCCTAAGATCACCATCTGAGATAGGCAGCCCTATCAGTCTTTAAACAAAATAAACATTACTGCTTCTAAAATAATATATTAACCTTTTAATTAATATGCCCCACCCTCCTGTATAATGAGCCATTCTGGCCCTTAAAGACAAGCAGCTTCATTCTGTACCATTTTCAACACCCCAAAATTATTATAAGAGTTGTGGTGGTGCAGTGGTTAGAATGTAGTAGAGCAGACCAACTTTGCGTTCGCACTGTCAGGAGTTCGATCCTGACTGGCTCAAGATTTTTATCCCAGAGCTGTAACCATATTAAATACTACTTATAGTGCAACATTGAAGTGCAATATTGGGGGCAGCGCAATGGTGAATAGAATGGGAAGGATGTGTGTATATAATGTATGTTCTTATTTGTGGTTTTTACTTGCGTGTAGTATGCACTTTGGACAGCGCTTAATTTTGTTGTGAGATACACAGTGACAATAAAGATCTATTCTATTCCTGTTCTACTCTACTCTACTCTACTCTACTCTATTCTACTCTACTCTACTCTACTCTACTCTACTCTACTCTACTCTACTCTACTCTACTCTATTCTGCCTTTCCATCCTTCCAAAGTTGGTAAAATGAGGACCCAAATTGTTGGGGGCAATATGCTGACTGTGTAAACTGCTTAGAAAGGGCTGTAAAGCACTATGAACCGGTATATAAATCTACTCGAAGTGATATTGCTATTGTTATTTCCTCAGTTTGGGCTCCAAAAATGATTTCTCTGATATACAATTCTTATTCTGAAAAGAGGGATACTCCCTTATTTTGTTAGCGAAATACTACTAAACATTACTGAATATTATTATATTACTATTTTGTCAGCAAATATTAGTATTACTAGAAAAAAAACCCCAAAGGGCAGCATGTTCATAGCATCAGTACAGGTAGTCCTTGTTTAGTGACTGCCTTGTTAAGTGACCCTCCATGTGACAGTGATGAAAAAGCAACTTAAGGACCAATCCTCACTTTTATGACCTTCGCAGGTCCGCAAAGCAAAAGAAAGCTGAAACAAGATTATAAGCACAGTTGCAGTTTCACTCAGTGTTCACTTAATAGCAAACTTGCTGGCCCCAATCGTGGTTGCTAAATGAGGACTATCTGTAATAGATAACAATCGATAACAAGGATTCATGCTGTTCTCTTGTAGGACGTGGCTCACAGAATGCTGTCTGCAAAAGAATGCACTCCAGAGGACCTCTGCTTCTCTCTACAGGTAAGGAACTAATCAGGTCTGGATCGAAGAGTATGTAGAACAGGGGTCTCCAACCTTGGCAACTTTAAGACTTGTGGACTTCACCTCCCAGAATTCCCCACCAGCATGCATATGCTGCAGTGGTGGAATTCAGCCGGTTCGCACCACTTCGGCAGAACCGGTAGCTATTTTTTTGTTGCCCAGGCCCAGGATGGACTTCCGGAAGCGGCATCCACACAGAGAACCGGTTGATCACATATTTGAATCCCACCACTGATATGCTATATACCCGTGGTGGCGAACCTATGGCACGCGTGCCACAGGCGGCACACGGAGCTGTCTCTGGTGGCACACGAGCCATTGCTGGGCCAAGCTGTTCCCTCCTCCTCTCCGTGCATGCGCAGCTCTCCGCGCATGCGCAGTCTGGAAATAGGCTAGAGGCTATAAAAGGAGCAACTTTTGGCGGAAGCAGCATTTGCTGCAGACAGCGAGAGAGCAAGCACAAGTCGGAGTGGACAGCGAGCAAGTGAGCACGAGCTGACAGCTCAGTGGCCACGCCCATTTGGTGGCCACGCCCACCCGGCACCTGGTGATGCATAAGTGGGGTTTGGGTTGCATTTTGGGCACTCGGTCTCTAAAAGGTTCGCCACCACTGCTATATACAGTAGCTTAGTGACAGCCGTCTTGGTTGCTGTCACAATCAAGACCATGTAGAGGGCAGAAGGAGGACAGAAGGAAAAACCACCACCAAGGCAATGATTGGATAAGAGGGGATTGAGCCAGGGCCAAGAAAGTAACTTGAGGAAACAGCTCACTCAAGCCCCTCCTTATTTCATACAAAATAAGGTAGAAAAAAAGTCATTTTGTTATTAGCCGTTACGCTAAAAATACTACTGGTTTACAAGGCACTGGTTTCTTAGTCTGGTCAACCTTGTAGGGCTGACAGATTAGGCCCCCAGAATGGGAGGAATGGGCCTGCAGGTTTCTGTTATCAGCACCTAGAAAATATTTACTTCTTTGACATCAGGTGTAAAAGTTGATTTATATTGCATGCATAGATAGAGGAGGATGGGCACCCCTAGTTGAGAACTGAACGGAAAGCTTCTGAATTCTGATCCTATAATTTCTCCTTCTTCTCCAAAGGAGACACTCTTCGCAATGCTGGTGGAGATCACCGAACGGGCCATGGCACATACCAGCTCCAGTGAGGCCTTAATTGTGGGCGGCGTTGGCTGTAAGTGATTTGGGCGGGTGCTGGGAAGGGCTGATTGTCTCTATAGGCTAGATGGAGAAGTTGAAAAATATCCCAAAAGTCAGAGAAGGCAAGCTGCACTGATGCCAAGAAAACTACTGTATCTAGGAAGATGGAGTCAAGATGGAGAAACATTGATCTATTAGACGGGATGCTTGTTCACCTGGTGTTTCTTTCAACAAGGGAGACTGCTCCTTTCTTTGTAGGCAACGAGCGACTTCAAGAGATGATGGGGATCATGTGCAGAGAGAGAGGGGCTCGACTCTTTGCAACTGATGAAAGGTGAGAACTCCCCACCCCACCCTCCATCTTCTTCCAAAGATCCTCCTAGGCTTAGCTTCCTGGCATCTGTTAGGGGTGGGTGAGTCCACCATTTCCTTCAAAGACTCAGTTGTGCGTATTAGCAGCAAAAGCAGCTGGACAACTTTATAAAGCCTTTGTAAGACCACACTTAGAATACTGCATCCAGTTTCGGCCACTGTATTATAAAAAAGATGTTGAGATTCTGGAAAGACTGCAGAAAAGAGCGATAAAGATGAATAGGAGGCTGGAGGCTAAAACATACGAAGAACAGTTGCAGGAATTGAGTATGACTAATCTAGTGAAAAGAAGGACTAAGTGTGACATAATAGTAGTGTTCCAATATCTAAGGCAGACATGTCAAACTCGCGACATCACGTGATGTATCGGGACTGTTTTGCCATTGCCGGCAATGGGGTGGGACCGGCTTCCGCATGATGTGTCTGCCCCATGGGCCGGCAGTTTGACACCCCTGATCTAAGGGGCTGCCACAAAGATGGGGGGAAGGTCAACCTATTCTCCAAAGCACCAGAAGGCAGGACAAGAAGCAATAGATAGAAACTGATCAAGGAGAGAAGCAACTTCAAGCTTCAAGGTGTTAGTAACAACCTTTAAAGGGCTCCATGGCAATGGACCTAGGTATTTGCAAGACCGCCTCCTACCAAATACCTCCCTTCGACCAGTCGCTCCCACAGAGAGGGCCTCCTTAGGGTGCTGTCGGCCAGTCAATGCCGGCTGGCGACCCCCAGGGGGAGAGCCTTCTCTGTGGCAGCTCCTGCCCTCTGGAATGACCTACCCCCCGACCTACGTACAACTGCGGACCTGCGCCTCTTTCGCCGAGCCCTGAAAACCCATCTCTTCCATGCGGCCGGCCTGGCGTAGTTTTAATTATGTTTTAGTAAAGGTTTTTATATGGGGTATTTTAGAGCAGGCCTTTTATTTAATATTTATTGTGATTTTTATTATCGCCTGTTCACCGCCCTGAGTCCCGTAAGGGATATAGGGCGGTATATAAATTTAAATAATAAATAAATAAATAAACCTAGAACGAAGGAGAAATTTCCTAACAGTGAGAACAATTAACCAGTGGAACAACTTGTCTCCAAAATTTGTGGGTGCTCCATCACTGGAGGCTTTTAAGAAGAGACTGGACAGCCATTTGTCTGAAATGGTGTAGGATTTCCTGCTTGAGCAGTGGTTGGACTAGAAGACCTCCAAAGTCTCTTCCAATTCTGTTACAACTTGTAGGATCTAAGCAGCCTAACAAAACCAGGGTGGGCCTCCTGTTGCTTGAATCCTGCTATAAGGTCTTCTGCTTGAGCAGAGGGTTTGACTAGAAGACCTCCAAGGTCCCTTCCAACTCTATTCTGATTGATTTGAACCTCTTTTCATTGTATCCTCAATAGTTTTGGCAATACCAAAAGTTAATCCATCCATAAAGTATCATTGGCTTGAATCCCAGTTATTTGCCTGAGTCTCTCTCAACTAAGCTGCAAGTAGCAAATTTGGAAAAGTGATGCAACTAACACCATGCTGTTGTAGAGTTTCCTTGAGTTTAGCCTTTGCAAAAGAACAAAAGAGAGCCTGCACTCAGAACGGCTCTCCTTTTTTAAAAAAAAATAAATCTCCGATTCCTCATGACCAGTTTTGTACCCAGGTTCTGCATTGACAATGGTGCCATGATCGCCCAAGCTGGTTGGGAAATGTTTCAGTCTGGTCAAGTCACAGCACTCAAAGATTCGTGGATTACGCAAAGGTGATTGTCCTAATTTCCAATACAAGGGAAAATAATTGTGGAATTAGCGGAAATGGGGCACGGAAGTCCCGAGGCATTTAATTTGTTTAGATCCTTGCTAAATCAGACATCTTTGAAGCCGTGGCTTTAGTCGGTCTTTTTAACTCCACCTTTTTAAAACTTCCTGCAATTGTGCACCTCTAAATACAGGGGAATCCTCCAGTTAGGACCACAACTGAGCCCAGAATTTATGTTGCTAAGTGAGAAATTGGTTAAGGGAGTTTTGTCCCATTTTACGACTTTTCTTCCCACATTTGGTAAGTGAATCACCATAGCTGTTAAATTAGTAAGACGGTGGTTCACTGAATCTGGCTTCCCCATTGACTTTTGCTTGTCAGGTCGCAAAAGGGGATCATGGGACCCAGGGACTTTGCAACCGTCATAAATACGAACCAGTTGTCAAGCATCCGAATGTAAATCACATGACCCCGGGGAGGCTGCAACGTTCATAAGTGGGGAAAATGGTCAGAAGTCACTTTTTTTCAGTGCCATTGTAACTTCGAACAGTTACTAAATGTTGTAAGTCGAGGACCCCCTGTGCAGATGCAGGAAATGCAGTGACTCTCTATGTCTATGGAGATTCTCAGTCATCCAGGTCATGGTGGTCTCAAGGAACTTTTTCAGGAGGCAACTGGTCATTTGCATTCTTTTAGAGCAGTGGTTCTCAACCTTTTTAACGCCGCGACCCCCAACCGGTCGTAAGTCGAGGACTAAACCGGTCATAAGTCAAGGACTAAACCGGTCGTAAGTCGAGGACTACCCAACCGGTCATAAGTCGAGGACTTTCCCTGCCCGGGACCGCCACACATGCATGGTTCCGCCCCCTGCGCCGGCCGAGGCGTAGCTGGCAAGCGGCAGAGACGGAGCAGGCCGACCACCAGCTGGCCCAGCTCAAGGGAGGTAAGGCACCCGCTGGAAAAGGGGGGAAAAAATGGCAGACAGCCTTGCTTGGCGACCCCCGTGAAATGGTCGATCGACCCCAAATGGGGTCCCGACCCATAGGTTGAGAACCACTGTTTTAGAGAGTCGTTGAGGCCATTTGGAAATTTACCTGTGTCCTCAGGGTCACCTGAGTAGTGCAAATGTGTGTGGAGCCCTCTTGGCTGCCTCAACGACTCCCTAAAAAAATGCAAATGACCAGCTGTTTGCAAGGAATATAAATCCTTCCATTCCCCGCCATCCAGTCGGAGCTGAAGAAGCTTCTTGGATGAGAAGCGAAACGTCTTCAAAAGAAAAACAAGAAAGTCCTATTGCCTCCTGGAAAAGTACCTTGAGACAGTAAACTCTCTAGTTAAGCAAACAGTTCCCTGCATGTTTGCAATTAACAGCTTGGGAGTCCAAATTTGAGGGCAAACCAGCCTGATTATGGGTGCAGCTTTGTATCCCTTCCCATCCCCCCCCCACTTTTAAAGGCCTCTTAAAGCTATTTGATATGTGTTTACTCAGAGGTAAATTGGATCCTTAGAGGAATGGATACCCGCTCAAATGGATGCTGTGTGCTTTCATTCTTTCCAGGTATCGTACAGACGAAGTGGAGGTAACGTGGCGAGACTAAGGGTTTCTCTTCTCCAGTTTGGAAGCCGTGAAGAAAAAGCAGCTGCAAGGCTCATTAGATACACCCTTTTTTTAAAACGCACACTTTTTCGCCTAAAATAAATGATCTGATTTTGTAGGAAAGGGCTCTACAGTGTGTCTGTGCTGGATCGGTTAGGATGAAAAGTGGCTTTTGAGAAAAAAAACAAAGGGCACATTAAGAAGAATGTTCCTAACAGCGAGGACAATTAACCAGTGGAACAGCTTGCCTTCAGAAATCATGGGCGCTCCATCATTGGAGGTTTTTAAGAAGAGACTGGACAGTCACTTGTCCGAGATGATATAGGTTCTCCTGCTTGAGCGGGGGGCTGGACTAGAAGACCTCCAAGGTCCCTTCCATCTCTATACTGTTCTGTTCTGTTCCGTTCCATTCCGTTCCGTTCCATTCCACTCTACTTCTATTCTATTCTATTCTATTCTATTCTATTCGCTGAGACATTTCACTATTTTGGCTTGTGGGTCTTCATATCTGCCAGTTTCAATTTTTTTTTTTCTGGCCAAAGCCACCTTCTCTTCCTTTTGCTATGTGGGCAGAACCTTCCATCTCAACCATAATTGTATGGGTCATGAGCTCAGCTGACTGGGGAGGCTGAAATATTTGAATTTCTTTTAGTTTACCGGGGAGCGAAGGGTTAAGAAGCAAAATGGGTGTCCTTTTTTAGCAGGTTTCCAGTTGTTTTTAAGGGGTGTAGTGGATGCCGAGATAGTTGCAAAGCTCTAATACTGTCTCTGAGGCCCCTCAAAATGAATTCCCAAATGATCTGAAACTCGGACCTGTTTGGGAATCTGCAAATGAGTTATATGCTGCTCTTAAAGTAGGCGTGGGCAACTATGGCTCTTTACCACCTGTGGACTTCAACTCCCAGAATTCCTGAGCCAACATGGCCGACTGGGAGTCGAAGTCCATAGGTTGTAAAGGGGCCGTCGCTGCCCATCCCTTTAACTCTGCCTTGTATTTGTCACTCGAGAGTTGCGCCCCAAGAGTTGGCAACTTGTTGAACTTTGCTGGAAAAGGAGCCCCCTTAGCAGAGGAGGAAGTACGACAGCCCTGGCTGAGAAGAACAAAGTAGAGAGACACACCCAGGGTTATTAAATAACAATATTCAAAAAGTATCACTATTTACAGAGCAGGGAGACACAAGCACAGTCAGAATTGGTCCTTTGCGTTCAAACGCAACAACAAGCCGGGATTTAAAAAAAAAAAAAACACAGCAAAATTCCTTCGTTGTGCATGGGTGGTCCAGGCTTCTCGGCGATGCTGACCTGCTCAATGGGCAATGTCCTTCTGTGTTCCGTGGGGGTGACTGTCAAGACTTTGGAGTCTATTGCCCCCCCCCTCCCGTGGCTGGGTTGGCATGACAGCAGCCCCTTATAGCCTGTTTGCGCAAGGCTTCTTGGTGATCCTGCTGCCCCCTATTGGCAGTAGAGGGTGAGCACATCCTCTTGGTTGCCCCGGATGAAGACCACTGGTGGATATAAGTTTTTGGAGACCGTCTCAAGCCAGGCCATGTAGAGGGAGCTGGGGCAGGCTCCTTTTCGTACCACCGGAAGGCTTCTAGAGAATTGAGGAAAGGCAGAGAAGGAGTTAGGGATCGGCTTGTAAGGAACTGAGAGGCTCCACATTACAAAATCTGTGTGTACCCTACAACAGGGTTTTTCAACCTTTTCACCCATTGTACCACTTTTAGGATATGGCAACATCCGAGTACCACCAGTCGCCTAACAAGGTGTCAAAAATTTGATGCCCCCCCCCCAAAAAGACGCCTGCCTGCCCGCCCGGCGGCGCTCTTCCTCCTGTCCGAGGTTTTCATTGTTCTGAGCATTTCTGTTGAGGATTGGCAGCGTGAGTGGGTTTTGGTTTTTATTCCCCCCCATCTGCTGGGTGGTTGCAGCAGGTTTTGGTCACTTCACATGACCCTGGGACACTGTGACCATCATAAATATGAATCAGTTGCCAAGCATCTGAATGTAAATCACAAGACCCTGGAGAGGCTGCAACATTCCAGCTGATCGGCACTTCTGGGCTCAGCAGAAGTGCCAGGATCAGCGCCAAGCTCCAGCTGGAGCCTGACACTGATCCTGGTGCTTCCACTGAGCACTGATAACTCCGAAGAAGCGCCGATCAGCTGGAAAGCGGCACTGATCCTGGCGCTTCCGTTGAGCCCTGACAGCCCTGCAGCTTCAGCCGTCTCTCGCTCAGGCTTGTGCGGTGCTGCCGCCGGTTCAGCTCATTCCCCCCCCCGCTATCACTTTTCTAGGATGGTCGCGTACCACCTGCCAGGTGCCAATGTACCACAGGTGGTACCCGTACCACTGGTTGAAAAGCCCTGCCCTACAACATTGTGTACAATAGAAGTGACCTTCCTGAAGACAGGACAGACAATTTCTGCCATTACCTGATTAACTTGATCTCCTACACTAGATCAGTGTTTGAACAAGCTCTGATACGAGGCCATGAGTTCTAAAAAGGCTGCTGGCAAGCAAGCAACAATCTCACAACAAAAGTGATAACTTAGAAGGACAGATGAATGGCCCTTCCATTTTCTAAGGTTGGACACAGCATCTTCTAAGACTCCTCATTTGCATGGCTCATGGTTGGATCTTTGCACAACAACACAATACATGGAAATACTTAATCCCGTTAATTGCTGGAAAATCTCGGTATTAACCTTTAAATCAATTGCCCTTTTCACTTGGTGAGAACTTTTGGGCTGACTGTAGACTATTTTCATTGTTAACTACTGAATGCCTCGTCTTAGCCTCAAATATTCCTTAATAAACTCTTTTGTGTGGGCTGGTTATTAATTATAGTTTTATTTTGGACTGTTCGCTGTTTAACAACCTGTTTTACAACCTGTGCTGTTTGCTATTGATAGAAGCAGCACTGGGGGATTGAGCTGTGTTTGGTACAGCCTATTTTTTTAAAAAAATAAAATTAGCTTGGTTGATTTTATTTTTCTATAGTAAAAAAGAGCCAGCCTGGTCTAATGGTTAAAGTACCAAGCTAGAAAGCCAGAGACTATGAGTTCTAGTCCTGCCTTTTTTATCCTATTTTTATAAATAACTTAAGGCAGCGAATATATTCCACACAAAACACCTTCCTCCTCCTATTTTCCCCATAACAACAATCCTCACTCTGTCTCAACCCAATTTACCTCACAGGATTGTTGTGGGGAAAATAGGAGGAGAAAGGTGTGGTGTGTGGAATATATTCACTGCCTTGAGTTATTTATAAAAATAATAAAGGCGAGATATAAATAAATAAAAATAAAATATTTTGCTTATTTTCCCCAAACCTGCTGTCAATTTTTTTGGGGGGGAGGGGGGGAAACTGTATTTTTCTAGCAAGTGAGGGTATATGTCCGGGGGCAATTGCACAATAGGCATACAATTTTCTAAATTAAAATTAAATTTAAAATGAATTTGGTCTAGTGGTTAAGGTACCAGACTAGAAACCAGGAGGCAGCGAGTTCTAGTCCCACCTTAGCCATGAATGTCAGCTGGCTGATCTTGGGCCAGACCCTCTCTCTCAGCCCAAATCACCTCACAGTATTGTTGTTGTTGTGGGGGAAATAGGAGGAGGAAGGCATATATATTTTGCTGCCTTGAGTTATTTATAGAAATAATTAAAGGTGGGATAAAAAATAAAATTTATGTCCCAAAAAACCCCCCAGAATCAGGTCTGTTTTCATAGCGAGGCATGTAGTTTATTTTTGTGCCTAAAGAGTTTTAATTGTCTAGAATAGGACACTTAAGACCCAAAACACCTGTACTTTGGAACTGATAATGACACACCATGAGCTCCGGAGATTTCCTGTTCCCAGGCTTATGGATGGTGGCCACGGAGATTAAAAGTGTATCCTCAGAAAGCTGCATTTTCTGAGTCTTCACTTTTCTATCCAATACTCTGTTGTGTAAAACTGGAATGCAGCTGATCTTGTAGCCAAAACGTGTGCACACATCTCCTGCCTTTACTTCAGGAGCTTATGCTAATGTAAATTGTATTCCTTCCTCAACTTTTCCCCCCACCACAACCTTGTAAGGTAGGATGAAAGTTAGGAACTGGCCCCAAAGCCCCCCAGGATGCTTCTGGGCCTGAAGATAGAACATAAATCTCTTTCCTTCTAGTCCAGTACCTTAACCACTAAATCCACACTGGCATTCAAATCAGACCACGTTCCCTCGTGCACAATTTTCAAATTAAATAGGGATCAACAAGGCAACGCTTTAATAGCTGCAGCTTGGTGACCCATCCACCACCACAAAGTTAATTCCAAAAGGAAAGGGGTGCATCGTTGCCCTAGGTAAGAACGCTACAACCATTAGGGATGCTGACCACTCTGAGAAAGAAGACGTGACTCACATGACGATGAGGGCTGCATTGCGGGAGTGATCTTGTACAACCTCGTGAAGACACATGTGCTGCTCAGACTAGACATTGGAGAGGAGAGAAAAAAGAGGGTTTTAGTGGGTTTTAGTTTCTTCCTTTTCCTTTCCCTTTAACTCCCAAAGCGCAACTCGAATGGAAATGTCTAGCTGGCCTTGGCTGATCTGGGAAAAAAAGCGAGATGTAACATATGGAGGGGAGGCCACAAGGAGATCACAGGGAAGAGATTAAGGGGAAGAGGAACTAATCATCCTGGGGGGAAAAACATCTAGGAAATCACTAGCAGCTGATGCTCACTTGAGGGAACTTTTACTTCTGCCACGAAACTTGTTAATGCTCAGGATTGTGCTGAGAAGTGACCTCAAAGGCAACGCTTTCAAAAGGCAACTGGACTGTTTTATTTTATTTTATTTTATTTTCAGAAGGAGGAGGAGGAGGAGGAGGAGGAGGAGNAAGAAGAAGAAGAAGAAGAAGAAGAAGAAGAAGAAGAAGAAGAAGAAGAAGAAGAAGAAGAAGAAGAAGAAGAAGAAGAAGAAGAAGAAGAAGAAGAAGAAGAAGAAGACATTTTGTTTCTCATCGGTTTTGGCAGGATAGTGGGGGCAATGGAAGGATTAGTTCTGACAGGATGGGAAGTTGGAAGGATATTTCTTTGCAGTCATCTGGTCATTAGTGCTCTCCCTGAGAGTTCTTGGGGCTACTTGGGATTTTTATCTGTGCCCTC